TTTTCGATCTGCTGGTCTCGTTAAGAACTTTGTAATTGTAACATTCTATGAAAGAAAAGAAAACTCCGTGTAGTACAATCTGTCAAATTCTTGTCTACTTGTTCAGCGTCACTTACTACTTTATCTGAGCCATAGTTGCTTCTATATTATTTTCTTAAAAACTGCTTAGTGTTTAATTCTTATTTTGCTAGAAAATGCAATTTCATTGAAAAGAAGGCATGAATTTTTAAAATTTATTGGAAAATGCATGAAAATACGCCTGTCAAGCAATGAAATAAAACGATTGTTGTTTTATTTTTGTTAATACCTCGTGCATATGGCGATCCGTTTCCACAGTAACGCAGATTGCAATGGGATTGACCTTCAAGTTTGTAAACGTAAAATGCTCCACAATGTTGTACAGTTATTTCATTTGAATGATGGCAACAGTTGTCAAAAGAGCTAAAACACACTTGGCGTTTAACAGCCCCATCAGTTAAGTCGGGATGAGTTCCGTTCAGCCATCCAGGTGACTCGGTCCCGCAATGATAGGTGTTGACACAAGAATCAGCCATTTGCGTTCCAGCCTCTCCAGTGAATCTGTACCATCCGTTAAGATTTGCATCGCATGGGTAAGAAACACTTTTGGTATATGTCATTGCTCTGCTGGACTCGTTGAGGTATGTGTAGTTGGAACATCCTAAGAGAGGATTACAAGTGACTCAGTGATGTATCCTGAGTAATAGGCATGCCATACCATATTGGAGAGAAGAGCATTTGGAATGTGGTTGATAAAAAAAAAGAAACATGGCCTACCCCCTCTCTTCGGCACAAAAATGACTGACCCGACCTAAAGCAAGGTTGGAAATGACATGACCGTGGCACACGTCGTTTTTCAACAGATGAAAGATAATTTCTATTTACTTTGTCAGTTCTTTGAAAACCGAAGAAGTACGCGCATATTGCTTTTTCTACGTTGATCGATCTGACCGAACATTTTATAGTCAAACAGAAGTCAATTCTAAAACATCAAAAGTTATTGCTTCAAGATGTTATGCTTAGAGCTTGGGTATTAAAAAATCCCTTAATAAGCAAGGATCAGTAAATCAGACGGAAAATAGCCCTAAGTCCTCCGCTTAATCGAGAAACTGCAAGCTTACCTTTCACTCGCGTCCTTCGTGTTTTATCGGCTAATCGGCCAGAAACACTTTCCCGAATATTTCTTTAATTTTGTAAGATTTCATATAATTATTCACCATAAGATAGATCTAAAGCGTTCGAGTACATACAGATCTCCCTTTTATTGAGAGTCGGAGGCTTTTATTTGTTGAACCGAACAAGAAAAAAACTATCACAAGTTTGTTTGGATTGGTTAGATCGCAGCTTCACAAATAGTTGCGGACCGGAAAAGAAAACGCTTTCATCGGGGAAAAAATGATAAAAAATTGTTATGCTTTTTACTATTAACATTGTTATTTAAGCATTTTGGCCTTACTAAGCATTCAAATTATTGACTCATGGACAGTTTGTCTTGTAGGTGAACACAAAGTTATATATAGACAGCAAGATATTAAGGGCAGTGTATCTTGATAGTTTTTCCGACTTCCTGACTTTGATTTTAATTTCTACCAGGAGTACTTCTTGAAGTTCTAGCTAGTTTGGGATCGGAGCACAGGAAAACAGATACACATATTGGACATCAATGTTGTGATCAATTGACAGCTGTCAAACAAGGTATCCGCTGACCAGTATCACTTGACTGTATCGAGAGCTCAGGTGTCGACCCATCGAGGTCAAGTATTTTTTGAAGTTATCCGCTGACAAGGTACTGGTTTTCAAGTGATCGCAGGCTCAAGTTTTTTTTTTTTTTTTTAATTCATATGAAATATGTTGTGTTTATATGCCGCACAATTAAAATTTTGATTTCAAGCTGACCTCGGACGCGAAAATTCAGCCAGCTGCTACAAGCAGGGAAGACAGTTGCTTTTGACTTTTCTCGCCATGTTCACGCGTTGGTCACGCTCTGCGTCCAATTTTTATGCTCTGATTGGTCAAAATTTGACAGGTGAGTTCATGCGAAAAATTTTTGCAGCATCTTGAATCTTGTTTAGTTTGACAGCTGAAGCTGACAGAGTTTTGTGTCAACTTGTGATGTTTTTAACTTTCTTTTTCCAGTGGATGTACTAAATGAAATTCAGCTGCTATCAGGAGTCTTCTGTTATTCATGGCTAGTTTGTTTATTTGGTTTTTGGTTGAGTCAAAGTCGGAAATCCGATTTCGCATGGCATCGTTTTCGCTTTCACCTTGCTTAATGCGTAAGAGGGTTGCAAAGTCTGAAGCGATACTGGCCTTACTTGACACCTTCCAGGAGCTGCATCGCGAGTGGTAGGCCTAAGTAATTATTGTATTTTCATGTTTGTTTTTTATTCCTAATTTAATGAAGTCGAGCGTAGTTTATGCGGCTATTTTGTTTACGCACGTTTGTCAGATTTGAGACAATGGTCTAACCGAGTATCAGGTTTGTCATAAGCTTACAGATCTTTAAAAAGCCTTTAGACATTTTCTCACCGCAGATAGAAAGAAAACGTTTCAAGGAATATTTAGTTATAATTCTGGCTGTAAAAGAAAGGTTTGAGCGATTTCTTTGCCTCGAGTTCGTCTTTGAAAAAAGCAAACACCGGAAAGCCGGCTTAAAACATAAACTTCATCTTTAAAGCTCGAAGACTTAGGATTTTTAGAGACACTTTAATACTTGTCTTCCTGAGTGAAAATTGTCGTCTCTGTATATGTTTCACCGAATTATATTTCTTTTATTGATTGTTAGTACTGTCTCTTGTAATTTTAATCGCTGTGCCGATTGTTTTCAGTCGTTCAGTGAACAACGCTTCAGTACTCAAAATGCCGCACGTTAAACCGTTTTAAAATAAAAAAAATAAACAATAAATTCTTTATTATGTTGGAGCGTAACTGTGTCAATGTTCATTCAAACACTCGCCACCGCTAGCACTGCAAAAGTCAGAACTGGCTGCCCGTATAGATGATTTTGAAAATTTTTTTAGGGCGTCTGGAAAAGCGAGAAACCGGTTTCCGGAATAGCAACGGAATAGGAACAGGAACAGGAAATGGAACCGGAATAGGAACCGGAATGGGAAAAGAAACCTATATAAAAGCAGGGACAACATTTACCTTAATTCAAGTTAATCTGGATTTAATTCCTATTCCGATTATATACGAAAATTAAGGGGAAAAATGGAATAGGAACCGGATTAGGAAGAGGAATATAAACAGTGTATAGAAATATGAAAAGAAAGAGATATAATCGTGATATAAATAAAAAGCCAGAGAAATAATTAAAGAAACAAGAAAACATCCTTGAAATGTTAATCTAATTAACCGTTCTTTATCTTTAGCTTATGACACACCGTGTTTTCGTGTCAATAATAGCGAACTTAAGCAAAGAGAACGCTGACCGTCGCTTGATGGAACGCTTCTGTCTCACACAACAAATCTGAATTCTTCCTCTTGCCTTCCACTGTGCGAATTTGTTGAGTCAGAGCACGGAAAGACAGAAAACATCCACTTCCAGTTTCCATTTTTAATGTCCTGGACGTCAAAGTTCTGGTTGCTTATTAAGGTCCCTATTGCACTCGGTTGAGGTAGATGAAGTGCTCACTGCGATGGGGATGGTTGGGGGGGGGGAGGGGGTTCGTGCTAATACCCTTTTTAAGCTGTGGACCATCTGTCTCTGGTTAACTTCCCAATTTAGCACAGTACAATATATCTATGTAGCAAACCTGAGGTGTATGGCAGCCCAATAAACGTCTCCGATGGGTGTCTCGTTTACACATGGTCTGACAAATGATATTAACATGTTATAACCTCGTTCCTGTGAGAGACAAAAGGAACCTTAAGATCTGACAACGGCAACGCCAGCGAAAACGCCACTGAGAAATTGAATTCGGGTGTTAACTCAAACTATTTCTCATTAATTCCAAATTGTCCAGTCTTTTGAAGGTTGGGAAATGAAGCTGGAGACCGTGTCCGAGCTCAGAAAGACACAAAATTTATCGCCTGCCGTTCACGTTCTCAAGAGAACTTAAGATTTGATCATTTACGTCGTAGTTGTGCATAGGCGGTGAAGAAATTGACAGAAAGCGCGATGCACTCACAAAGCTGTTGCTTTACTTATTTAACTTGCGGCTTTTTCTAACTTTTCGTTGCCGTAATATAAAGAGATTCGGGGGGGGGAGCATGATACCAGACTAGTTTTCTTATTGTTTGTATAAATTAAATTAGAATTAAAATAATTGAAAGTAAATGATGTCCCTGTTCTTGTATCGGTTCCCCTTCACATTACTGTTCCTGTTCCGGCTCCGGTTCCTGTTCCCATTCCCGTTCCTATTCCGGATTCCGGTTTCCTGCTTTTCCAGAAGTCCATTTTTTTAACGGTTTACGGCTAAAGCCCACGCGTGCTTCGATCGTCCTGAATATTGAATGATAGCAATTTGTATCGCAATATTGTGAAATACTACATTCTGTTGTCCGAGGTCTGTGTGATAAAAACAGTGCCTCATAGTACTGTTTCACCTCAGATGTGATGTATAAGTATAGGTAATCACATGATTTCGAGTGCAATTTGGAATAAATAAGCACGAGTCAATTTTTCAAAGACCAACAAAAGTGCACGAGCCCGTAGGGCGAGTGTACTTTGTGGTCTTTGAAAAATTTACAAGTGCTTATTTATTCCAAATTGCACGAGAAAAATCATGTGATTACTTATTAATAATATACACGAAAAAAAATAACTACAACAAAAAAAAATTTGACGGGGCGCGCTTTTTTTAGTTCATTCAACTGATTGGCAGAAACAGATTACAACGTTTGTCAAATGCAAAGTTTTACAAGACTGACACGTTCAAAATCATTCAAATTAGAACTCGGAAATGTGTGCGGATTGATTTAACACCGTTTTACATTTATGTAAAGGAAACTCGCTTTACAATAATCGGAAAAGTAAACGTTCAATCAGAATCATCCTCAATAATGAAAGCTCGGCGTTTACAAGAACTGGGCTGTCGTTTTGAAATCTCAGGAGCTCGCTTCGAGCGGCCAATGATGAAAGACACTTGACAGTTGTTGAACGTGTTCATCATGGTCTGTTCCTGGGACCTCATCATGGTTGGATTCACGGAGAAATTCTGAGCTTGAAAACCTAAAAGTGATGGAGGGAATTGGTTTTCTTTCGTCGCTGTCATCGATGGGCAGGCTAATATGTGTGGTACGGGCACTTTCTTGTTTACCGGAGCGAGTGGAGCCACAGTTGTTGTGATGTCGGAAACTGCCATTCGCTTTTTCTCAGCACTGGGGTTTTCATAATTTCGTTTGGATATTGCACTGGAAAGTCGTCGTTGTTCTTACTCGTCGGCTTCATCGTAATCGTCAAGGGATTGTACGCTTCGGTGGCCTGTGACCTTCACAATATCTCAGCGTTCAACGTTTGCTTTCTTTAGCTTGCTCACTGTTGTCTTTTTAGCACTGTGATTCGTGAACTTTTTGTGACTTTCTTCAAGGCTAGTACCCGCCACAGTTGTTTTCATCATGTTGCTAATCGTGTTTACGCCCATTGGTTGAGTTTTGAACCAGATGTTGTCATTCAGTGTTCGGTTTCTTTTGATACTGAGGTAGACAGGACCTTACCATCGCATGTTTAGTGGTCTTCGCTCGACAAACTGCTTGAAGATAGCAACCGGACACTGAAAATCTCTGTTCTTGCTCTGCAGTCCGCCCTGTCTGGTCTTCGTTGGACCTTCGGTAAACTGCACGAACTCCATACCTTCGTCATTTTTGCAGAGTTGAAAATCTTCCATTTTCATTGCGTGGTGTTCTTGATGGCCGCGGAGACCAAAGAACTGCGTCAAAAGCCACCACATAGAAGAAATAAGCGCTTCTGGAGTTTTGGAACCAAATTTTTCTGCCTCCCACAGCACCTCTTCTTCTTCCTCAGTTAAACTTCTGGCTTTATTTGGACGTTTGCCCATACCAGATTGGCGAAGCTGCCGAGCTTTCCCCTCTAAAACGTGCTTGGAAGAGTGGAACTCCCTGTCTCTTATGATGGAAAACTTTTATCCTTTCTCGTTTAAATGTCTATCAAGTGCAGCTATCATCACTCTTAAGCTGTCTGGCTCGTAGTCGTCACTGTTTTTGTTTTCTACTTCAACGTAGAATGTTTCAAGTAGCTTGTTTAGTTTTTCTGGCTCGTTTTCCTCGATTTTGTTGACAATATTTTTCTGTTTGCACCACGTCTCCCATACATTCAGCCAGAAAGACGTACTCTTACTGTGTTTAGGTTTTTGGAAAAATTTTTTAGCTCTTCAATCGTTGTTTCACTTGCAAAACCAAATCGTTGTTTGCTGAAAACCCCGGCCATTTTCCTCCGCGTCTTATCTCAAAATTTCCGCCAATATGTTGCTATAGAAATAGCTCTAATCTGATTGGTTCTTGTTGGTTTCTTTTGTGTTTTTAGCCAATCAGAAAGCATTTGTAATTTGAACTCGTGTTACAAGTTTGCACTCGTGTTACACATTTTGCACTCGTGTTACAGAAGAGCTGCACTCCTTTCTCAGCCAATCAGAATTGAGTAATTTTTTCGTGTATATTATTAGTGATATAAAAGCTTGGTTTACACGCACCCAGATTTGTTGGCAAGATTTTGTAAAGTAAACTTGTCGAACGCAAAAAATTCGGCCGGAATTTTTTTTCCAAGCCTAATTAATCTACGGTGATTAAGAGCCATTATGGCTCCTAATATAAATGTGATCGAAGATGATTGCCAGTTTTTAGGTGTAGTTATGAGGCTATCAACTCGATGTGACATTTGGTTCACTCTTGGGCTGTTTGCAAATTATTTTTTAGTAAAATCACTTAGCCTTTCCCTGAAACGTCACACGAATGTGCGCTAAACTTAACTGAATTGTGGAATACAAGTTTATTGTTTGATTTAAAATTATAAATTTATTAATGGGAGCCTCGCTTTTAGCCCTGGCTAATCTATATATTATCTTACCAAATGAAAGTAATAAGCCTACTCAGCAAACAATCAATTTTTGGTTCGGGGAAAATGTCGTTTACACTATTTTTGAGGCAAACGCGTGGAGAGGGGTAACTGCTGATAACTCCCTAGTTGTACTGATATTTCAAAAAAAGACATATAAAGAGCAGTTGTTATGTTATCATTTGTTGCCTATTTTGAAACCTTGTAACAATTATCATTGCATTTGTGCCAGTTCACGTGTACACTCTGAAATTCTGGGAAAAAATAACTGTTTATCATTCTTCTAAAAACGCCTATTCAGCGTTTTTCTCCATATTGAAGCGCAGTTATCTCTGAAAAATGCGTTGTTACCCCCAGTTTTCTTTTTGGATTTCAATAGCCCCTGATATGATCTGTTTGTGTCACATAGTCATTATCTGGGAAAAAATACTTCCCATTAGTGGGCACCGTCCTTAATGGTAAATCGCTCAGTATCACTGGCATTCCAACTGTTGGATGCCAGTTTTGCGAGGGGTATATATAGAGAAAACGAAAAAAATCGTGCATCAGCCGGCAAATTTCTTAACAACAGTTATACTTGAAATTGAAACCAAAAGATCTTACCATATTGCAAAATAATCTCAAAACAGTGAAAAGAAATAGACCTAAGTGCAAATAAAGTTCGCAAAGTGATTTCAAATGACGACACGTTATAGTATTTTCCAAGACCACTTCTAAACTCAAGAAGGGTAATGAATGTGCGTACCAGTTCCGTAAAACGTGTTTTGGAACACTTCGCTAGAATGACGAAAAGGTCCGAGAAATCAAGCAAAATATAGAAGATCTGGTCAAAAAGCACAAGCAATTTTATAACTTTACGACCAGGGGAAACCTGAAAACAAACAGCAGGCGGGGAAAATAAGGAAGGACAAAGTCAAGGACGAGGAAAATGAAAGGATGTCAGTTAATATCGGCAAGATTTTTTCCAGCATTTCTCCTTCATACGAAAGCAGTGAACAAGGTACAGCTTTTCAAGTGTTGCCAAGTTAAGTGAGTTAAAGCCATCCTCAAGAACAAAAAACTTCCTAAGAGCGTCAAGAGTGAGCTTCTTCAGAACCTGATTGCAGTTGTGAAAAAGGCAATAGCCAAGGATCTCAACAAAAGCGAGGACGTCAGTAGAGGAAGCACAGATGAAGAGAGCACTGACAACGAGAGCGGCGATGGAGAGGGCAGTTGTGAAGGGACAGGTGATAAGGATAACAGTGATGAAGATGTTGAAGAGCAAGAGATGATGACGGTTGAACAGGTTGAGTTTATTGAACAATATTAACGGTGGCGGTGATTTATAAAATGAAAGAAAAAAAACAACAAACAAACAAACAAAAGCACAAAACAATCTTGTTAGATACATGTAATTCTGCCATGTAAAAGTTTCTGATATTTTGAATACGTTTGTTAGGATTGCCTTAATATTTCTGCTTGTTTAACATTGATACCTATTTTTGTTTCTTTGCTTGCTTCATTTCAATAATATATGTAACAACATTAGTAACCACACTAAGGTATCAAAATATTAAACAGCAGTGAAATGTAGAAAAAAATTGTACATTTTGTAAAAATTGCATTTGAAAATGGACTCAACAGATTTGAGAGTATTTTTTAGCAATAATTCCAGCTGGTTGTGTTTTACAGAGGGTAGCTGAAAATTGCACAATTACACAAGGCTCAAAACCTCGTGCCCTCCCCCTCCCACCCCGCCTATACGTTTTGGCCAGTCCCTCGCCAACCAAATCATACCACAGAGACAATAAGGTGTTTGCCCCACCCAGATGATATTCTAATTGCCCAAATGTTAAAACCAAACAAACGATCAACAAAAGCAAAAACAAAACACAAAACTTGTCGGTAAATGAATCCTAAGTGAAAGATATATCCCAAGCTTGACGATAACATTTTCTCATTTTCACTTCCACAACAGGAAACAAGTAATATTTACTTACCGGATACACTGAAGTTTACTTGAGTATATGATATTTTAAATCCACGGCCCCATTGTATCTGACCACCGTCGAAGACAAATAGTACTTTAATTCTCTCTTTAAACCAATCATACGTTGTGTTGGCTGTTAAAAGACCACATACACGCCATTTGGGACCATCATGGCCCGAAATAGATCCACCTTGAATTTCCAAATAATTACACGAGCAAGACCATCCTCCACTGCACCCCCAATAAGAATCTATGTCTTCAATAGTAAATAAAATTCGTTTTCCTTTTCTTGCCCTGATTTCCCAGCTGCAGCTTTGGTTATAAGGATTATGTCTGGGGTAGAAAGGACTGGTGATGATTCCTGAAATCTCATTCAAGGATGTCATATTTGGACAGACTGTAAAAGAATATTACACACATCTCTTGGAGTATATTAAAAAAAATATTCCAAAAATGTTTTTTTCTTATTAACACCTTAATATCTCGGTGAAGCAGGTCTTCTCCTTCCCTCCTCTTCCATCAATATTTTCAAGAGCACTTCTTTACTGTCGTCTCAATATCCCAGAATCCATCTGAAAACGGCTTAGTGTATCTGCTTTAATGAAATACTGAGATAGATAAAGGTTCCATGCTTGATTCATAAGGGGGCTTAAATACAAAATACTTCTTACTGGCAAAACATCTTGCTTCCTGCCATCGATTACGAATAGTTCTACAATACTTTTCTTTCCAGCACGAGTTTATGTTATCCCGCATTTCTTGGTAATTTTAAGGCGTTAACCCGCGGTATTTTCGGTAATTTTATCTGTCTTTGTTAACTCTGAGCTTCAAACTTCAAATTGGCGGAAGAGACCCCTTTGGCTGACAAAATTGTAATCTCCACGACCGATTATTCTGGAGCATCAGAATTCGTACAAATAAGAGGACAAACTTGACGTTCTAATGCAATATCTTGTTCAGTTTTACCATCCTGTTCCCTTTGGCATTTCGTTATTCCTATTTCAGCTCTTTTGCTCTTCTACATTTTCAAGCACTAAAACGTCAATACCGTCAGTTGCATCTAAGCGCGCGTGTACAAGTGAGGAAAAAACATGTTCTAAACGGGTGCAAACATCATATGTTTTGCCGTCAAACACTCGAAGTTTGAAGTAGGCGGCTGTTGTCGATTTGATTTGTTTTCACTCGACAAAATATTCTTTGCAAGAATTTCTACACGTTAAGAATAATTTCTGGAGGCAAGTGTGCCGTTTCTGAGCGAGAAATATGCCTGAAATTTAAGAAAAATGAAATATTAGCGGAACGCGCTAATCAAAAACGTAAAAACAACTTACCTTTGGCGCGACAGTTTGCTTTACACGTAGCGGCTGTCAAACTTCAAGGGCCGGTCATTTATTTAAACCAAGGTTAGACAGCGTTTATGAAAGTCATCGTCTAACCCATGTTTAAACCATAAAAACCAATTGTTTAAACGCTGTTCTTCCGTAACCTTCTTTAGACCGTGTCTAAACATCGACTAAGGAACAATAAAAAGTTAAACGTGCTCACAGGTAGGTTAAACGTTGTTTAACGGTTTTTTCAGCGCCATCCAAAATGAAATGGCCTCAAATCGGGCGGAATACTGTGCGCAACAGAGAGTTAAGGGGAAAAGAGACTACCCCAGGGTAAAATGCATGTTCAACAAATTCCACACCATAGGGACAGATTTTACCCTTTGGAGAAATATGATGACGAAGATTTTCGATTGCGTTTTCGCCTTCGAAAGGACTCGGTAATTGACCTCTTAAAATTTTTGAATGAAGATCTTTCAACATGAAGACTGGTGTGCCGCTTGCACCGTTGCCGCCTTAATTTTCATATTGCTTTGAGATTTTATACAACAGGTGTGAACTTTCTAGCAGGTTATCGGCGATTTATTTGGTGTAGTGTATTTGCTGCATTCACAAGGTTTCATGGGCTATCGCGAAACAAAAAAAGAACATTCCTTGTCATTCCCTGAGAACCTAACATCTATTAAGAGAGAGTTTCGTTTTAGCGGGGGCGTTCGAAAATTACTGCGGTACTCCTGACTATCCTTCTTTTCTGTCCTTTTTCGTGACATTTGCTTCTTTCCTTCGAATAACTTCAAGATCACCAAGAGCTTTTCTTCCACTAGTTTTTCTTGCTTCACGACTTTGCAAATCGTGTTCTTTCTTGAATTGGAGTTTCAGCCGCCTCCGGCATCTTTGGATCTAATTCATTTCCCGTTTGATACCGTTTTGATTTTGAGGGTTGAATTTTTGAAACCTTTTATTGTCGTATCCTTTATTTTTTGCTTCTGGAAATACTCTTCTCAATGCCGCCATTAAAAGTTTTTCTTCTTTGCTAAAATTGGTTTTTCGACCAGATTTAGAGCCGACCATATTGAGTCGTTACTTCCAACAGGGAATTAAATATACATACGAATAACCCCCTCAGACAATACATTTCCTTTTGAGACATTGTTTAACCACTGACTGGAAAAAACACGGCTCAGTCACGTTTTGATAATGCATTTCAAACATGGTTTAACCGTTGTTTATCGAGACAACGTCTAAATTGCAGCTTGACCTTAAACACTGTTTAACTTAGACTCCGTGTAAATAATCGGCCCCAAGTGTTTGGTGGCAAATACGCCATGTCTGGCACCGTATTAGAAAATGTGTTTTTGTCTGCTGTCCACGCTTAGATGTAACCGACGGTATTTTCTGAGTCAATTTTTTGATCGCCTGGTAAGTACCCAAATTGCCTGATAGTGAGAGATCGATCTAGTTCCATAAAAAGTAATTCTTTTTGTTTGTTTGTTTATGGCTGTGTTTCCCTTCATGTAAGGTAATCCGGATACCGGAATCGGATATTTAAACAAGTTACTTGCGGAATGCGGAATTCTGGGATTTGGAATTTGAGATTCTACTCGAAGAGTCCAGAATCCTACTTATGATTGGAATCCTGAATCTAAGGCCCGGTTCAGTTGCCAAACTTCTCATGAGCCGAACCTAATTCGAATTAAGGCCGACGCAAATTATTTAGACCGGCTGAAATGATTCAGACGCCAAATACGCTATAATAATTTATACATTAAGTTCGGTACATGAAAAGTTCGGCGTCTGAATTAAAGCTGTTCCAAGGCGAAATTCCCGGCCGGGCCGAGGGTTGTCCAATACTCACAAATAGACTCCATTGATGTTATTGGTGATAAGAAGGGTCTCCATTGGTACCAATGGTACGATTGGTACCAATAGAAAAGCATCCTATTCCAATAGTTCTATTGGTGAATATGCATCTTATTAAGGAGACTTAGATTATTTTCTCATGTGGTCTAGCTGGGTACAGGGCAATTCCAATGGTCCATTGGTACCAATGGTACGATTGGTACCAATAGAAAAGCACCCTATTCCAATGGTTCTATTGGTGAATATGCATCTCATTAAGGAGACTTAGATTATTTTCTCATGTGGTCTAGCTGGGTACAGGGCAATTCCAATGGTCCATTGGTACCAATGGTACGATTGGTACCAATAGAAAAGCACCCTATTCCAATGGTTCTATTGGTGAATATGCATCTCATTAAGGGGACTTAGATTATTTTCTCATGTGGTCTAGCTGGGTACAGGGCAATTCCAATGCTCCATTGGTACCAATGGTACGATTGGTACCAATAGAAAAGCACCCTATTCCAATAGTTCTATTGGTGACTATCGATCTCATTAAGGGGACTTAGATTATTTTCTCATGTTGTCTGGCTGGGTACAGGGCAATTCCAATGGTCCATTGGTACCAATGGAAAAGCACCCTATTCCAATGGTTCTATTGGTGAATATGCATCTCATTAAGGGGACTTAGATTATTTTCTCATATGGTCTAGCTGGGTACAGGGCAATTCCAATGGTCCATTGGTACCAATGGTACGATTGGTACCAATGGAAAAGCACCCTATTACAATGGTTCTATTGGTGAATATGCATCTCATTAAGGAGACTTAGATTATTTCCTCATGAGGTCTGGCTGGGTACAGGGCAATTCCAATGGTCCATTGGTACCAATGGTACGATTGGTACCAATGGAAAAGCACCCTATTCCAATGGTTCTATTGGTGAATATGCATCTCATTAAGGGGACTTAGATTATTTTCTCATTGTTTCTACTTGGGTACAGGGCAATTACAATGGTCCATTGGTACCAATGGTTCGATTGGTACCAATAGAAAAGCACCTTATTCCAATGATTCTATTGGTGAATATGCATCTCATTAAGAGAGTTAGATTATTTTCTCATGTGGTCTGGCTGGGTAAAGGGCAATTCCAATTGTCCATTGGTAGGAATGGAACGATTGGTACCAATAGAAAATGATGTCATTCCAGTGGTTCTATTGGTGAATATGCACCATTATAAAGTAAAAATCCCCGTCGATTCACATGTTTATGAGTGATAAGGAGACATTCAAACTTCTGCTGTTTTTCCACGGCAACGGGTGGAATCCTGAAACCATCGGTAGATGGATTCTTCTAGCTCAGTCCTGGGCCTCATCGCAAGCTACAGCCGAGAAAAGAGCACTGCAAATACAATTTGTCAACGACAACGTTGACATTAAATACATCAATGGTTTTACTACGACGTTGATTATAGCAAACTGGTGTACCTCAATGGGTTACCACGACAAACCCCACGTCAACAGTCAAAAGTGACTCAGTCACTTGAATATAGAACGGCTCTCTTAGGAGCCACCAAATACAATACAAAGTCATAACCAACAGCATGATATAATCACCCTTTTCGGAAACTCTTCATTGAAAACTTGTTTTGGTTTAAACGCTTCCATGTAGATAATGAAATTGCGCTAAGAACTTTCAGAAGTTAATTTCACAGTGAGTCGAGTACAGTTGTTAAAACCTGTTGCCTCAATACCACTTTGCTAGTTTCGCGCCTTTCCGCGTTGTTTCGGGTTCTTTTAACGAGTAAGAATTCCCAAAAAATAGTGCTTGCGTACAGGAAAGAAGACATTCATATGTCATGTCGTTGTTTGCTCGTGAATCACAATAAACAGAACGAACACTACAGTGACGCGTTACCTTTCAATTTTAATGTTCGTACGATGTTTGTTATACTCGCAGCACCTTGAGATATTATTAGCGCTAGATATATAGGTCGCCCTCGCTTTGTAACTATTAGCGCGTTTCTACTTTGTGTGAAAGCGAACTTGTTTTCGCGTGGTTAGCCAATAGAACGAGGAATATTCATAAGAATTATGGCGCGTTTTTAATTGGTGTAACAGCGAACTTGTTGTGCGTGGTTGGCTTATAGAACGAGGAATATTCATAATAATTATTAGCGCGTTTTTACTTAGTGTAAAAGGCAACTCGTTTTGTGTGGTTGGCTTATAGAACGAGGAATATTCATAATAATTATTAGTGCGTTTTTACTTGGTGTGAAAGCGAACTTGTTTTGCATGGTTGGCTTATAGAACGAGGAATATTCATAAGAATTATAGCGCGCTTTTACTTGGTGTAAAAGCGAACTTGTTTTGTGTGGTTGGCTTATAGAACGAGGAATATTCATAATAATTATTAGCGCGTTTTTACTTGGTGTAAAAGCGAACTTGTTTTGCATGGTTGGCTGATAGAACGAGGAATATTCATAATAATTATTAGCGCGTTTTTACTTGGTGTAAAAGTGAACCTGTTTTGCATGGTTGGCTGATAGAACGAGGAATATTCATAATAATTATTAGCGCGTTTTTACTTGGTGTAAAAGCGAACTCGTTTTGCGTGGTTGTCTTATAGAACGAGGAATATTCATTATTATTAGCACGTTTTTACTTGGTGTAAAAGCGAACTTGTTTTGCATGGTTGGCTTATAGAACGAGGAATATTCATAAGAATCATATCGCGCTTTTACTTGGTGTAAAAGCGAACTTGTTTTGCCTGATTGGGATATAGAACGAGGAATATTTATAAGAATTATAGCGCGCTTTTACTTGATGTAAAAGCGAACTTGTTTTGCGTGGTTTTCTTATAGAACGAGGAACGTTCATAATAATTATTAGCGCGTTTTCACTTGGTGTAAAAGTGAACTTGTTTTGCACCAATAGAACCATTGGAATGGCATCATTTTCCATTGGTACCAATCGCACCATTGGTACCAATGGACCATCGGAATTGCCCTGTACCCAGCCAGGTCACATGGGAAAATAATCTAAGCCCCCTTAATGAGATGCATATTCACCAATAGAACCATTGGAATAGGGTGCTTTTCCATTGGTACCAATCGTACCATTGGTACCAATGGACCATCAGTTTGACGAATCGTATCCGTTTGTGTATATTGGACATGTGTGGCCGGGCCAGGCGAAAAGAACGGCTAGGCCGTTCCAAATTGAAACAGGTGTTACTAATTAATTCAGACGCCAAACGTTTGATGTACTTACTTCAATGTATTAGGTTCGGCTCATGGAAAGTTCGGGGTCTGAACGGGGCCTTAATTCCTCTGACATCCGGAATCCAGTACTTAGAATCCAGAATCCACGGCATGGAATCCCAAATCCAAGACTTTCTTGGATTACCATTTATGAGGCGAGTTATTGTTGATGATGTTTTTTTTTTTCGGATCTTAACTCAATCATTGATGTCTGATATATAATATATGCCACCTACCTGAACTATAAGTGATAGCCGTGTAAGTTGCATTAAACCCTGAGTATTGACTGCGCAGAGACGTGAATATAACTTGCATTGAATTCCCCACTGAGTACACTGGATAAGGAAGTTCCTGACCGCACAGCATGAACGGTTGATAACGGCCATCTGAAGCAACATTTGTGACTGTAACACGGACATTTTGAGCATTATAATAGCAAGGGATGTACTGATGCGGCTCTAATTGAAAGTCGACGAAGCTGAGTTTAATGATGTACCCGCTGGGAACTGTGATATTCCAGATACATATGCTGTATTGAGGATAGTCACTCGGAAAATTTGGAGTTGAAAAGAATCCACTTAATCCATTAAGATATTCGCCAGATGTACAAGCTGCAACAAGAGGAAATAAACTAGCTTTATAATACAAAATCAAAGGGTAATCTGTCCGTGAACCAAAAACAACAACAACAAAAAACTCAATATAAAGATAGATAAGCATAAAAAAATAGGAGATTTTCCACCAAACACTTTTAACATCATGCGAATGAAAATTGTTGGCATTCCATCGGTATTTTAGTTTGGGGTGTTTTACTCCGTATTTGAATGTTGAATGTTGTCGTTGACAGTTGCTACAAGCCTGTTATAATTAAGGCAATAATATTTTGTATAACTTGCTTGAAAATTGATCACCTAATCGCCTGCACAAAAACCTTTAACTTTGCGTTTAAAGCCGATTTCTAATAACTTACCGGTGGTTGTTGCATTATATTTCGCTTTCATGTAAATTGCCCTAAATCCACGGTACCCCCGGTAAGTATCACTATCAGAAACAAACGTCAACCTCAGGGCATCTTTTGCCGAATGGTATACTATCCCATGGTCTTGATAGTATCTACATCTTCGCCTGCCTGAAATGCCAGCAGTTGATGAGCCATTTTGTATTTCCAGGTAGTCACACGTGCAAGATGAACCACAGGACTTAATATTGAGGTCTTCAATGACCAACACAATGTGTTCTCCTTTACTTGCTGTAATTTTCCAGCTGCAATTCTCGTTAGGAGGGTAACGCCTTGGATAGTAAGGACTGGTAAGAACTCCTGATGTCTCATTCAGGGTTGCCATATTGGGACAGACTGCAAGCCATATAAATGGACCGACCGTAAGTATCGAGGACAATTAGAATTATACCACTTTCAAGAAAGGATCTACTTAAAGTGAGGAGGAATTAGATCAAAACCAAATGCGGAACGGCAGGATTTAATAATTTAGGGATGCGCCAGAAGCTTTCTTTAATTATCGAGATTATATTGTGAACAAGTCACAAACAATTGACTGCCTTCTTACGATCGATGTTTTTAAGAGTCCGTTCGATAACTCAAACGAACATGTACATTTTAGTAGGTATTAGGCGCCTGCGCTTACTTTAACATGAAGATTTGTTCTGTTGTTTAGGTTGTCTTTCTTTGCTATGAAAGCCCATGTGAACAACAGCTACATTAGGAAAATTCCCAAACAACTCAACATGAATTATGTGAAATATGTTCGTGGGCACTTGTAAAGATTATTTTTTCTGGTAGAAGCATCCTCGAAAGTTTTCAAGAACAGGCTAGAGAGCCGCTGGAATGCTACTCTTAACGAACCAGTTCCACGACTTATTCGAAGGTTTGCATGGGATTATTTGACGCAAAAAAGTAATTTTGTGCCCAACAAAAGGCCAGCATCTATCGCTTTGTTTTCGCAATCTTCTTATACGAAGAAGTTTACCCGCAAACTCGACTGTTCACCGTACATGTTTGGCTCTTGCAAGGGAGCTTTCTTCAGCGAAAATGGAGCCCACAAATCCAAGAGCGTTTTCCAGGACCACCTTCAAAGAACACCGCGGCAAAACGTCTACGCATGCGCCAGGTTGAGCATTTCCGGTCACTTTTTCAGTCACATTTTCCAATCAAAGTCTTCCGCGCGCTCGGCTTCATTCTGTGTACAGCTTGTGGTGCAGTTGTTCTGCTTTATGCTACTCGTGTTTTTGACTATTTTGTAGTTATTGAATTTGCTTTTATGGATAAACAAGGTACAGTTCACTGAAACAATTAGTTGATTAGATTCAAAAAAGGTAAGGTGATAGTAACTTGCGTAATATGGCTAATTTGAGCGTCAGGTAAACAGTTCGGGAGTATGCCAGTTTTGGAAGAAGCGATGACGTCATGATTCCATTGTTCTGCTAAAAATACGCAAAAATGGGAAAAAATAATCGCCACAAACAAGGGAGCTTTTTTTAAAGCCTGTTCCAGGTTCACTCGTTCAATATCTGGGACTTCTGAGCTAGCAGCGCTGATGAAGAAGCCTTTTCCTTGCTTTTTGAATGTCAAGAGCAGTTTCGTGCCGCATTACGGTAGTTAAAATCGACAGTTATCGAACAGCGTTCGAAGACGTCGCCGCCATCTTGACGGGCATCGAATGTAAGTACATGTCTTTATGTTTAGTTTTCAGTATCTTGCCGAATTTTTACGAAATCAAGACTAATTTTCCTCAAAACTACAACGTGTAAGGTGTGTTCAGGCAAAGTTTCATCGATGGTAACAACCTAGTAAAAATGGTAACCACACATTGAAAATTGCCAACGGACAGGAAGGGTTACTATATTGATGGTTATGCCTTAGTCTGTCTATGTATTTTTAGTTATAAGCGATCAAGTCTGTCTTTGGTTGTGTTCACCGGCAGTGTATGCGACTCTGATCTAGAAATCACTTTATTGATCCAGATCATGTGTGTGGAATGAGTTTTAAATCAGTGTGAGTAGGTTCTTAAATTGATTTCTTATATTTTGATGAGGATGTCCGTCCAAAATGTAGACAAACATCTGGACATATTACAAACATGTTGTCGCGTTTGTGCCAAAAAGCTGGGAACAGAAACGAGGAAGACAAATGTTAAATATCTTCAGAACGACATATTTGTGCTCTGAGGGCAAAATGTTGCTTTAGATTCGTCTCATGTTACTCTGTAATAAAAAATTTAATGTCCAAATTCAACCCTTCCTCAGTAAAATCAAACATGTGTTTTTGTTTCTTTGTAGTGTGGTCACAGGCTTACCTACCACCACAAAAGCCCCTCCTCCCTCTCAAAAATGGGTAAGAGGGAAACAGGTTGGATGGGGGGCTTATACACCTTGTGAGTGGAAGCTGACACTCAATGACCATTCAACCATAGAAGAGACTGTGGCCCTTATTCAAGGGGCTTTAAAGGAGATAGATGAGGAAGGAGTCATGGAAGTGGAGACTTGTGAAGATTTTCTCCACATAATGTTCAATCCCTTGCGTCAAATATTGTTTATCCTTTACAAATGCCAAATACATAATATGTTCAGTCCCTGTGCTGTGCAAAGGTCAATCTGAAACAGGAAAAATGCCACACTCTCCCCCATCAATACCTTTGCATGAGCAATAAGCCCACATTTTATGTCATAATATTGAATATGTTTGTATTTGAATAAATCCTAAATTATTGAGATTCTCTCGATGAAAAAGCATTTATATTAATGTATCCCTCCCTAATAAATAATACATGAGAGACATATTGAAAACCTATGTCAGCTGCTACTGTCTTCATTATATCAATTAAGCTTTGGTTTTTGGTTTTCATGTCCAAGAAGGTGTTAAAAAACAAGATTTTGAGATATAAGAGTGTGTATAATATGCGAGCCAGCGAGCCGTGGCAGCGAGTCATGCAGGTCAGATACGACTCATTGAAAAGAATACATAAAAATCGAAAACAGTAATACCGAAAGAATTAACTAAAAGCTAACCATGGTAAATAAGTGTTTAACCCTAAACAGCACTTAATCATAAGTTTTCCAAAGTTCTTTTTCATAGTTCTCCATGTTTCTATTGAACAGCACTTTCAAGAAAACAAAGCTCACACATCATAGTAAAGATACAATTATAAAAATTATTAATTTTATTGTTACATTTTGTTTTTTGTAAATAAACATTTTATTTCTGGTCCTGACATAAACTACGAGCAAGGGAGCTATGCAAGTCACGCAGACCATCAGCAAAAATAAAGTAAAAACAAGTAAAAACTGCAGATTTTACAGATTACAGTTGAGCATTCTTTTTACTGATTAGGGTTTAGGTTGGGGTTAGGGTTATGTTGTGTCCATGCCAAGTGCAGCAATCATTATTATTTTGGGCCAAACCTTGGCTAATAGAATTGTTCGAGGGTCCCCACAGAGAAGACTTGGAGAAAAGTGCTCCTCAAAGTTACAATGCCTTTGGCTTGAAGGCAACCCCAGAGTTAAAAACAATAATTTAGTATTATTCGGATATACATCAAATCCCATATAAGAGGGTATTCTATAACAACCCATAACCCTGTTGATCTCTGACCTCTGGTCAAATCCGGTGGACTACAAGACTAAAGTATCCCATTTCAATCAATATATCCAAAAACATGTAACAGGCATTCTTAGTTTTCCAATATGTATATTAAATTCTAAAGAGTCTCTTGCATTTGTTAAGCTTGAGCAAATAATCAGTGAACTTCAGACAGTGGAATAATTGAAAGCAGTAGGTTTTTTGGAAGCGGGACAAAGAAAAAATGATCAGGGATGATAAGCAAGATTTTCACTTTGTCGGTTTTCAAGAAGAAAACGCGAACACAATACCCTCAGAAATCCCTTGTAAACCTGTTGTATACCTGGACGGAACCGCTTCAGGACATACACCAACAGAACATCATATTCGAAAAAAACAGATATTTTACTCACAAATGACTCGCTTGCACCAAAACAATAACCTGAATTACAGCCGTCTTCTCTGGCCAGTCGCTCTTCCCCGAGAGAGAAACAGAAGCAACGGGAAAAATTATAGTAAAACTTACTCTTTGCAAACATAAGGAAATAAATTATAGAACAACTCACTTTTTTAGTTGTTTCCAAAGCATTCTTTTTTCTTATAATATAAAAAATTAATGAAAGAAATAGGCACAAACTTGTTGCGTGCTTACCTATTTTCGATGTACTGATTACATACGCAGTGAGTACGAAGTGCCTACAAAGCGCGCAATAGGCGAAGAACTATAGCGCAAGAATGGTTACTCCTTGTCCTCAAGGTACTTCCCAATTCATAGTAAGGGGAAGACAAATTAAAAAGCTCGATGAAACAAGAATAAACGAGAATTTCGGTCAATACTCTTTCCTCTCCCTTGTCCGCCATTTTGTATGTTTTGAAAATGACCATCGCCATGGTGATCATGTTATGGTTGGTGACGTAGACTATTGTTTTCGCTTCTTCCAAAACTGGCATACTGCCGAACTGGTAAACTGATTTTCTTTCACGAAAACAAAGTTTTTGACTGCTATTTTTCACTTAACCTGGCTGAAACTAGGACATAAAAAGTTATCATTGCAAACTTATGTATTGTAGTTCTAATTTTCGGTTTCTCAATTTCACACCTGCCAATCTCCGGAGATCTAAAATCTGGAGACTCTCTATTTTGCACTACACCCTCCCATCCCGGAATGTCAACAGCACCAACACCCCCACCGCCCGCCCCCCGCCGCGCCAACAAATTGCCCTAGGACATTATATGACGTCTTGCATGATGTACATGAGATCAAAATGCGCTTTCATCATTGTAATGACGAACTAATCTTTGTCATTGACTAAACATGTGCAAAAATGTCCCAGAAACTGTACAATGAATAAAAAAAGTTCGAATTTTGTGAAAAAATGGACTAAATTTCAAACTAAAGCACAGAAATGCTCAAAAGTCCATTTTATCCAGGAGATTTGGTGCTCTAACCGGGAGATGGGGAGATTTGATGAAAAACTTGGAGACTCCCGGGAAAACCGGGAGAGTTGGCAGGTATGTAATTTCTCAGTCTTTATGTCTTAAACACCGCTTCAAGCTTTATTGACTTTATCTGAAAAACGACAACACACAATCGCTTTATAGTTTTATTTACCAGTGAGTTCGTTTTTTTTAAATGAAGCTCTTCTGAGTAGATTGCCACGAAACACCTTAAGCTTGATTATACTGTTGAGGTTGGCAGCAAGTTGACAACTTTATTTATTTATATAATTTTTTCATTCTCAGAATCAGAGAGCGAAAGCTGGTTTGATGGCTTTTAGAAGTCGAAATTTTCATGCCATTTATTTATCAGCTGGAAGTTTCGTGTTCGCAGAAGCTGCAGCCGAGCCCCACAATCTGAAATTAATGAAGTCTTCAACCAAAGAAGAACCAAGTAAAAGAATTAATAAGAAATAAAATAAGCATTTCCTTGATTGAAAGTACGTTTTTCAGCATGTTTAGTTTCCCGGCCAAGATCATTCAATAGACCGAAAGCGCCGGGTATTCGCGACGGCAGTCATCAAAGTCGAGGATGTTATTAAATCTCGCCCATCTTTTGTTTTGAGTTCTTGTTTTCTCTGATTGAACGGACTAAACTTTTTTTTTCCTGGTTATAGCGTTAATGATAATAATGACGTCTTTTTTTGGTTTCTTTCCTAAGTTTTGCTATTCTTTTCTTAGTTATCGCCTTCTCCCCGAAATTAACTTATGCCAAACCACAAGCATGCAAGAAACGCAGTAAAAACAAATTCGTCGTGTCGAGCGCTAGCGACGTACAAACTTCAAACATCATTTTCACCGGGTCAGCACTCGTTAACATCCGTCGAAAGGCCCTCTTATCTTCGGTCGGATTTCGTAAACGTATGACGTCACGTTCGCCTCGTGGCTCCCCCTGTGACTCATGTAAGCTTCGCTTCGATCCTCCACTCTGATTTGTCTGATGATTTGGTGTTTGTTTCGAGGTCTTGTCTTGCTTTTTCGATCATCTCTCGATTGATTCAACCAAGAAGATGCCACTGCATCTGTTTGGAAAGGGTGTTTTGATGTTTCGCCTTGATCAAGCCTCTTAGCGCATCAATAAGGTCCTTTCAGCGGATGTTATTGAGTAACATCCCTTGAATATCCCCGGATAGAATGGCATTCATGAAGAAATTACACGAACAAGCAAATAAAACTCAAATGAACCGCTGCCCCATTTAACAACTTTTTCAAATATTGGCGGGAATATAAAAAAATAGAAAATCATCCACGTGTGTAATGTCTGTCTCTGTCGAATAATAATGAATGCTTGCAGCAACAACAACAAGACCCAACAACAACAACTTTATTTGTACCCAGCTGTACCCTACATGATTTACATGATACAAAAAAATTAGATAAATATATAGAGAGAGTACAGGCTGCCCATAATAACCATTGAGGGCTAAAAAGATAGAGCAGCCTCACTTAGGTTATTAATAAATGATTATATTAAAGGTCAGGTACTGCACACCACACACAGCTACACAAAGCATTCACACACACAAAAAAAAAACGAGTAGAAAAAGAAACTCAAGACAGCAAAAGAAAGCTAAGTATACCAGTATGAAACCACAGAAAGCCATTCTTGCACTAAGTTGTCTGATGATCGATATTCTGTTTCATCCGCTGAAGAAGCACAAAGCTAATCGAAGATTTTGAAACTCGCAATACTCGCAATTTCCCTCTACAAGGACTACAACGCAAGCAAAGGCTTTAGAGGCACAGGTGAGTAGTAGCTATATTATTATACAGTGGCAGATAAGGGGGGTGGGGGGCACCCGGTCATCCAGACCCTGAGATAAGGGGGCCCAGTCTCCCAAAAAAATTTTTTCGGCCCTTCCGGCGCGGCCTCAGTTTGGTGTAAAAATAAGAGGGGGGCCCGGGCCTCCCAGGCTCCTCCCCTAAATCCGCTGTTGACCATAGCCCTACTCCAATTTCCCAAAATGTCATTGCTTAGTTTGTTGGCACAAGCAAACCTTTTTGAGATCTTAACAGTGTCCATAGAATCCGCAATCGACAGTTGACCGGGTATGCACAAGTAGGCAGTTGTTCAAACAAAGGCTAAAACAATCCTGCTTCATGGTGCTTTTTGAGTCGTCGGAGGGTAGAAAACGTGCGCCCTGGATGCTACAGCTGGTATTCAATAAAATCTTAACATTTGCTCTTGACCAATTTTGGGTTGAGAAACATGGCTGCAGTGGTGGTAGGGAAGGGGGGTGGGGGCAAGTCCCCCCCCTCCCACTGCTATTTCAAAGCAATTCCCTTTCAAGCAAACAGCTATGACGGTGGCTGAGTTTGTCTGCATGGTAAGCATATTTTGCATAGTATTGCCACAATTTGTAATATCAATGACTATAATATTTTACAGTGAAACCTCTATTAAGCGGGCCCCCAATTAAGCGGACACTAAGCCGGGTCCCGAAACGGACGTCTGATATTTCCCTTTATAACAAACCCCTATTCAGCGGACGCCTCTAAAATAAGTTGTATTTGGCTAATTTCTATTGTTCAAAACCTCTAGTAAGCAGACACCGGACTGAATTGACAATAGTAGTATTGGATTACCTCCTTGAAATATGTACTGAAGTCAGTTAATGTTTTTGCATTTACAAACAAATTAAAGTTGGTAATGAAAGGTAATGAACTTGAACTCACGATAGCTTTTTTAACAACATGCAACTTTTTCACAGTACAGAGTAACCGTTAAATGTTGATCGTTAACAAACATTGTGCAATTTTTAAAACTTTATTAAGCAGACACCCTCTATTAAGCAGACACTTGGGAAGGTCCGGAAGGTGCCTGCTTAATACAGGTTTCACTGTAATTGATACAATAATAATGTAATAGTAATGATTATAATTATTATAATTTACATTGTTAGACAAAGAAATATTTTTAAACTTTCAGTATTCTGAACATCACTCATGTTCTTAAACTACTGTTGGTAGCATTAACACGTATGACATTTAGTTTGTACAGAACTTGAGCAGGGGAAAAAAATCCCAATTTCCATCAGGTACTGCACAGAACCTCCGTTAACTGACACCTCCTATAAGCTTAGATGCACCTCTTACTAACAGACACTAATCTGGGTTCACAGCAATTAATTTCTATGTTAAAAATCTCGATTAATTCAAACTATTGTAAGTAAAGACATCTTTTCTTGGTAACAAACATCCATATAGATCGGTCAAATCAGACCTAAAATTCTTTGCAGAATAGTTGCCCACATGATAGATCATAGCTATAGCAATTACTCCTCTCTCTATGGCAGTGGCGGATCTAGGGGAGGTGCCCGGGAGGTTCGGGCCCCCCCTTATTTTTAGACCAAACTCAGGCCCGATGAGCCGAAAAAAATCTTTTTGGAGACCGCCCCGCCCCCCTTATCTCAGGGTCTGGATGACCCCCCCCTTATCTGAAGGTCTGGATCCACCACTGCATGGGGTACTTCGGTTGAACAGATGCCTTTCACAAGCAGCATAATTCCTGAGTAATTTGGTCACCACTTGGATACTAAATAAGAAAACAAATTAACATATAGAGGAAGAAAGGAGGATCAAGAGTGCACCAAAAATCGACTCATCGGTCAAATCACACAGCCAATAATGCACAAGAAAACTGAAGGGAAGTTTAATGATGATCAAATAAGGAAAAACAATCTTACTTTTGTATAATTAGTTTTCCATGTTTGTTTTGACTTCATGAAATTAAATAGCATCTGCTCTACTTGATCAAATGAGAGAGCATTTTCTTTTTTGCAAGAATGACATGCCTTTACTGTAAAGAAGTTGAAGGAACAATTACAGCCGAAGAGGCTTTAAGGCACACTGTGTCCGGTGCCAGGCGAAAACCTAGTGACCAGTCATTTTAACCAAATCAGACAGAAATATTATTAAATAGTATTATTATTACCGCCTCATATTTTGCGCATTCTCCTGACCTTATATGGTAAATGACATAATAGTGGGATAATAAATAACAATATTGATCCTTCTCCTCAAGTGTGAAATATAAGTATAGCGATTTTTACACTGTATATGTACACATTATGTGTTCAATAAGGAAAGTGATGATGTATAATTGTCACCTAGATACACAGCCTGGTGATCTAGGGCCATTCAAAGGATGTTATTCCGTAACGTCCACTGAAAGGTCCTTTTCCCCGCGGAGTAAGAAGAGGCTTGAAACATCAAAACATCCTTTAAACGGAGGCAGTGGCATCGTCTTGTTTGAATTGATTGGAATCAATTGAGGAATGATCGAAAAAGTGGGACAAAATCTCGGATATAGACGATCGACGTGCAGATGAATCAGCATATTAAACTTCGAGGCGAGCATGACGTCATACGTTTACGAAACCCGACCGAAGATAAGAGGGCCTTTCGACTGATGTTAATGAGCGCTGACCTTTTCACCGTTGATGCAACCAGATAACCATGTGGTGCAAAAATTTGACACAAGAAAAATATATAAGCTATCGAATGAAGTGAGTTTTTTCGCCCCCTTTTTGCTTTCAAACTCGGCGCGACGGCAAAGTTATGCTTACGCATTTGGTTTATATACTACACCGGAAATAAAAAGCTGACCGGATGTTAAATTTTGTGCTCAGGCGCAGTGCGTTTTGAAGCGGAGTTCCTTCAAAGCTGTTCCCGAATGTTCCAAAGTTAGCGAGACAGATTGAAGAACTGAGGGAAAATGGGGAAACGGCGTGAGATAATTCAAATCATTCTAGATACAGATTATCTTGTTGTAGAAAGAAATTGGTTATTTTAAGGCTTTAAACCACGTTATTTTCGATAATTTGATCTTTCTATGTTGACTCTGAAGAGACCTCTTAGGCGGACAAAATTGTCATCTCCACGTAGCAACTGATGATTCTCGAGAGCATCAGACTTGCGTACAGTGTAAAGACGACAAACTTGAAATACACGTGTTCTTTAAATATACCTGAATGTAATATCTTGTTCAGTTTTACCGATCCAATCGTGTTCCTCTTTTGCTCTTTTACATTGTCAAGCAGTAATACGTCAATAATTTCGGAGTCGATTCTTTTGGTCGCCTTTTAAGTACCGACATTATCTGATAGTGTGAGATCGATCTAACTTCATAAAAAGTAATTGTTTTTGTTTTGATAATGTATACCACGTACCTGAACTATAAGTGATAGCCGTGTAAGTTGCATTAAACCCTGAGTATTGACTGCTCAGAGACGTGAATATGACTTGCATTGAATTCCCCACTGAGTACACTGGATCTGGAAGTTGTTGACCGCACAGCATGAACGGTTGATACCCATCATCTGAAGTAACATTTGTGACTGTAACACGGGCTCCTGGAGCATTATAATAGCAGCGACTGTACTGATGTGGCTCCAATCGAAAGTAGAGGAAGCTGAGTTTAATTATGTACCCGCTGGGAACTGTGATATTCCAGGTACACATACTGTATTGAGGATAGTTATTGGGAAAATTTGGAGTTGAAAAGAATCCACTAAATCCATTAAGGTATTCGCCAGAGGTACAAGCTGTAACAAGAGGAAAAAAGCAAGGACTTAGCTTTATAATACAAAATCAAAGAGTAATCTGTCTGAAACAAAAAAAGACAAGGCAAAACAAAAAACCAAATCGAAAGCTTTGCAATAGATAGTTATAAAAAAAAAAAAAAAATAGCAGATTTTCCACCACACACTGTTGGCATTTGATCGGCATTTTAGTGTGGGTTGTTTTACTCCGTAAAGTATTTGAATATTACAGTTACTATATAAGGCAATAATATTTCATATAACTTGGTTGAAAGTTAATCACCTGCACTTAAACCTTTAACTTACAGTTTAAAGCTGAGTTCTAAATAACTTACCGGTTGTTGGTGCAACATATTTCACTTTAATGTAAGTTGCCTTAAATCCCCGGTAGTACCAGTAAGTACCACTATCAGAAACAAACGTCAACCTTAGGACATCTTTTGCTGAATGGTATACTATCCCACGGTCTTCATAGTATCTACATCTTCGCCTGCCTGAAATACCATCAGAGGAAGAGCCATTTTGTATTTCAAGGTAATCACACGTGCAAGATGAACCACAGGAACCAATATTAAGGTCTTCAATGACCAACACAATGCGTTCTCCTTCACTTGCTGTAATTTTCCAGCTGCATTTCTTGTTAGGAGGGTAATGCCTTGGATAATAAGGACTGGTAAGAACTCCTGATGTCTCATTTAGGGTTGCCATATTGGGACAGACTACAAGCCATATAAATGGACTGAGCGTAAGTATCGAAGACAATTAAAATTATACCACTTTCAAGAAAGAATCTAGTTAACGTGAGAAGAAATTAGATCAAAACCAAATGCAGGACAAACGGATTTAATAATTTAGGAATGGGCCACAGGCTTTTTCTGGTTTGTGTCTGGAATAACCTTTTTCTTAAATTATTGAGATTATATTGTGAACAAATCACAAACGATTGACTGCTTTCTTACGACCGAAGTTTTTAAGAGTCCGTTCCATAACTCAAACGAACATTTTAGTAGTTATTAGGCGCCTGCGCTTACTTTAACATGAAGATTTGTTCTGTCGTTCAGGTTGTCTTTCTTTGCTATGAAAGCCCATGTGAACAACAGCTACATTAGGAAAATTCACAAACAACTCAACATGAACTGTGAGAAATATGTTCGTGGGCACTTGTAAAGATTATATTTATTACTTTGGTAGAAGCATCCTCGGAGACCCAGTGTCGGTCAGTTGAGTCAGGAAAAACGGCGGCAAACGTTTTCAAGAACGGGCGAGAGAGCCTCTGGAATGCTACTCTTAACGAACCAGTTCCACGACTTATTCGAAAGCTTGTCTGTGATTTGACACAAAACAATAATTTTGTGCCCAACAAGAGGCCAGAATCTATCCCGTTGCTGTCGTAATCTTCTTATACGAAGACGTTTACCTCCAAACTCGACTGTTCACCGTACATGTTTGGCTCTTGCAAGGGAGCTTTCTTCCGCGAAAATGGAGCCGAAAAAACCAAGGGCGCTTTCCATTCAACAAAAATTCCGATTTGAAATATCGGAAATTTAAGAGCTAAATGGATCGGTACATTCTGGTTGCATAGACCCGACCCAAACCACCGCGCGTTTGGTTATTGTTCTTGTAACCAGGATACAAGGGAGAGGTACTGGGAACAACAATTTTGTCAAATGGAAAGGGACATTTCGGTCCTACCGACCGAAATAACCAGACCGGTGAAAGAGGACCACCTTCAAAGCTGGTCCCGAATGTTCCGGTCAGACCAAATCAAACCGGCCCGTTCCATTTGATGTACCAACCGAAAATTTCAAACTTTTGGGTTGAATGGAAAGCGCCTCAAAGAAATTCGTTAATACTCGGATTTCAGAAAAAAAAAAAACGGAAGTTGCATAGATGTGAGATCTTTAAATTTAAAATAGGGACTTTACGATCTGACGAGGCGATGGCAGCAAAAACGTCACTTAAAAAGTGAATTTAAGTTCTTTCAGCCTTTATTGCGATTATTCCTACCCATTTTCTTTATCAAAAGTAAGCGAATCCCCTGGAGTTGAATTGCTAGGATCCCTTTCCAAGTTCCGAAAGAGAAATAAATTTTGGTCGTCGCTTGTTTACGTCCCCAGTAAAAAGAAATGTAGAAAAAAAATGTGATGCACGCACAAAGTTGTTGTTTTGCCTTGTAAACCTATTGCTTTTTTGACGACGTCCTCGTTGTCATCGCGTCATCGGAGTGAAAGGTACCTAAATAACTAACATGGCGGACTTAATTGAGGGAACATTCCTCTTGCTGGCTTCAGTGAAGAAGAGATACAGAAAAATTGACGGTTGCTCCACTAAAGTTTTGGTTTTGGTTAAAATGCCGCCGTATAAATCGAAATGGTAATAAGAGGGAACTGTTGGAAAGGTAGATGTACAACATCAGATTTTGCGCGATCGATCAGCTGTTTATGCTGTTTATTCTCAACTACAAGATTACATAGAAGTTTAGACATATGTTTTCATGCGACATTTTCTTCTCAGGGTTAAGAACCTACAAGCAATAAAAATCTAAAAATATATGACCCTGACCCAGAGAGGATCTTCACTTTATAAAGCAAGGTTAGCGAGAAAGATAGAAGAACTGAGGGAAAATGGGGAAACGGCGTGTGATGATTCAGATCATTCTAGATACAGATTATCTCAGTTGTAGAAAGAAATTTATATGGATTTTGCGCCGTTTTTGTCTAAAAACGGTTATAGACTTTGCCCATTTTGGTCTGGAATCGGGTCTAGTTTTCGAGGGAGCTACGGTGGTGTATGAACATATTTATCGATTGGTTCCAAATGAATAAGAAAAAAAAAACAAAATATGCAAATTCAAAATCAATTTTGAGAAATGTCATTGTTGGCGTTCTAATCATACCATTCTAACCATACTCCGCTGCACCACCAAGAAAAATCCGTATCTTAAATAGTACTACAATACTTATCGAGCGCAAGTTTATGTTATCCCGTATATCTTAGTTATTTTAAGGCTTTAAACCACGTTATTTTCGATAATTTGATCTTTCTATGTTGACTCTGAAGAGACCTCTTAGGCGGACAAAATTGTCATCTCCACGTAGCAACTGATGATTCTCGAGAGCATCAGACTTGCGTACAGTGTAAAGACGACAAACTTGAAATACATGTGTTCTTTAAATATACCTGAATGTAATATCTTGTTCAGTTTTACCGATCCAATCGTGTTCCTCTTTTGCTCTTTTACATTTTCAAGCAGTAATACGTCAATAATTTCGGAGTCGATTCTTTTGATCGCCTTTTAAGTACCGACATTATCTGGTAGTGTGAGATCGATCTAACTTCATAAAAAGTAATTGTTTTTGTTTTGATAATGTATACCACGTACCTGAACTATAAGTGATAGCCGTGTAAGTTGCATTAAACCCTGAGTATTGACTGCTCAGAGACGTGAATATGACTTGCATTGAATTCCCCACTGAGTACACTGGATCTGGAAGTTGTTGACCGCACAGCATGAACGGTTGATACCCATCATCTGAAGTAACATTTGTGACTGTAACACGGGCTCCTGGAGCATTATAATAGCAGCGACTGTACTGATGTGGCTCCAATCGAAAGTAGAGGAAGCTGAGTTTAATTATGTACCCGCTGGGAACTGTGATATTCCAGGTACACATGCTGTGTTGAGGATAGTTATTTGGAAAATTTGGAGTTGAAAAGAATCCACTAAATCCATTAAGGTATTCGCCAGAGGTACAAGCTGCAGCAAGAGGAAATAAACTATGCTTTAGCTTTATAATACAAAATAAATGAGTAATCTGTCTGAAACAAAAAAAAAAGACAAAGCAAAACAAAAAACCAAATCGAAAGCTTTGCAATAGATGATTATAAAAAAAATAGGAGATTTTCTACCAAACACTTTTAACACCATGCGAATGAAAATTGTCGGCATTTAATCGGCGTTTTATTGTTGGTTGTTTTACTCCGTAAAGAATTTGAATATTACAATTACTATAAGCCTGTTGTAAGGCAATAATATTTCATATAACTTGGTTGAAAGTTGATCGCCTGTAGTTAAACCTTTAACTTATAGTTTAAAGCCGATTTCTAAATAACTTACCGGTGGTTGGTGCAGTATATTTCACTTTAATGTAATTTGCCTTAAATCCACGGTAGTACCGGTCAGTACCACTATCAGAAACAAACGTCAACCTCAGGATATCTTTTGCTGAATGGTATACTATCCCACGATCTTCATAGTATCTACATCTTCGCCTGCCTGAAATGCCATCAGAGGAAGAGCCATTTTGTATTTCAAGGTAATCACACGTGCAAGATGAACCACAGGACCGAATATAAAGGTCTTCAATGACCAACACAATGCGTTCTCCTTTACTTGCTGTAATTTTCCAGCTGCATTTCTCCTTAGAAGGGTAACGCCTTGGATAGTAAGGACTTGTAAGAACTCCTGATGCCTCATTCAGGGTTGCCATATTGGGACAGACTGCAAGCAACATAAATGGACGGACCGTAAGTATCGAGGACAATTAGAATTATACCACTTTCAAGAAAGAATCTAGTTAACGTGAGAAAAAATTAGATCAAAATTAAATGCGGAACGGAAGGATTTAATAACTTAGGGATGCGTCAGAAGCTTTATTTGGTTTGTGTCTGGAATAACTTTTTTTTTAAATTATCGAGATCATATTGTGAACAAATCACAAACGATTGACTACCTTCTTACGACCGATGTTTTTAAGAGTCCGTTACATACCTCAAACGAACATTTTAATAGTTATTAGGCGCCTGCCCTTACTTTAACATGAAGATTTGTTCTGTTGTTCAGGTTGTCTTTCTTTGCTATGGAAGCCCATGTGAACAACAGCTACATTAGAAAAATGCACAAACAACTCAACATGAACTGTGAGAAATATGTTCGTGGGCACTTGTAAAGATTATTTTAATTTATTACTTTGGTAGAAGCATCCTCGGAGACCCAGTGTCGGTCAATTGAGTCAGGAAAAACTACGGCAAAAGTTTTCAAGAACGGGCGAGAGAGCCTCTGGAATGCTACTCTTAACGAACCAGTTCCACGACTTATTCGAAAGCTTGTCTGTGATTTGACACAAAACAATAATTTTGTGCCCAACAAGAGGCCAGCATCTATCGCGTTGCTGTCGTAATCTTCTTATACGAAGACGTTTACCTCCAAACTCAACTGTTCACCGTACATGTTTGGCTCTTGCAAGGGAGCTTTCTTCCGCGAAAATGGAGCCCAAAAAACCAAGGGCGCTTTCCATTCAACAAAAATTCCGATTTGAAATTTCGGAAATTTACGAGCCAAATGGATCGGTACATTCCGGTTGCATAGACCCGACCCAAGCCACCGCTCGTTTGGTTATTGTTCTTGTAACCAGGATACAAGGGAGAAGTACTGGGACCAACAATTTTGTCAAATGAACCTGCTTTTAGAGAGTCTTTAAAGCTCAATAGGAACGGTATAGACGGGCAGCTCTACCTGTGGTTCACTGGATATTTTTTAACCAACACAAGACAAAGAGTAGAGATACGTGGATCGTATTCCGAGTGGTCGCCTGTTATATCTGGCGTCCCTCAAGGCTCAATCCTGGGTCCGATTATGTTCCCTATTTACGTGAACGACATACCTAACATTATTACACCTACCACCAAGTTATTTGCTGACGATACTAAAATCTATAGACAGATAAACAAAATGGAAGATTCTATTGCTTTAAAATCTGATCTAACCGCCCTTGATCTATGGGCGGATCGCTGGCAGGTAAAATTTAATCCTAGCAAATGTGAGGTCATGAGAATCACTCATAATAAAGACAAAAGTACCACACGGTACCAAGTCTCGGGTACTGAGTTAAGAAATGTATTCAATTATAAAGATCTTGGAGTTATCATGGCGAATGACCTGAGCTGGACAAAACATGTCAATGAAACAGTTCATGAAGCAAACATAGGTTCTTGGCTTGCTTAAACACACAGTAAGGAGTAAAAATAAGGACATTTTTTTAATTTTTTATAAGTCCCTCCGATCCTTGAATACGCTAGCCCGGTGTGGTCACCACATCTAGCTAAAGACATCCATGAAATTGAGAGGGTAAAAAGGAGACCTTAACGAATCGCCCTAGGCCAAAGAAGAAATTGCCTGATAGTGCGAGTAGCTCCTTAAAATGTAATTGTTTTAAACTTTGCCTGTTTGTTTATGACTGTCGTTTCCCCCAATGTAATGTAATTCGAATACCGGAATCGGTAAAACAATTCTACCTTAGGAATCCGGAATCTAACTGCCACTGACTACCGGAATCCAGTTCCTGGAATCAAGAGTCCACAGCGTAGAATCCAGATTCCAAGACTTTCTTGGATCACGTTTTATAGGGCGAGTTGTTGTTAGTGATGTTTTTATAATCTTAACTCAATCGTTGATGTGTTATAAATAATGTATACCACGTACCTGAACTATAAGTTATAGCCGTGTAAGTTGCATTAAACCCTGGGTATTGACTGCTTAGAGACGTGAATATGACTTGAACGGAATTCCCTACCGAGTATACTGCAGGAGGAAGAGACTGACCGCACAGCATGAACGGCTGATAGCTATCATCTGAAGCAACGTTTGTGACTGTAACACGGGCTCCTGGAGCATAACGATAGCAGGGAATGTACTGATGTGGCTCCAATCGAAAATAGACGAAGCTAAGTTTAATGATGTACCCGCTGGGAACTGTGATAATCCAGGTACATCTGCTGTACTGAGGGAAGTTACTTGGAAAATTTGGAGTTGAAAAGAATCCACTAAATCCATTCAGATATTCGCGAGAGGTACAAGCTGCAGCAAGAGGAAATAAACTATGATATAGCTTGTTTATAATCAAAATCAAAGAGTACTCCGTCTGTGAACCAAAAAGAAAAACGAAACAAAAAAACTCAATCGAAAGCATTGCAATAGATAAACATAAAAAATGAGATTTTCTGCCAACACTTTTATTAACATCATATCAATGTAACTTGTTGGCATTTCATCGACATTTTAGTTTGTGTTGCTTTACTCTGTGTAGAGTATTTGAATGTCACAGTTGCCGTGACCCTGTTATAAGGCAATAATATTTTATATTCCCTGCTTGAAAATTGACAACCCGGTCGCCTACACAAGAACCTTTAACTTTGCGTTTAAAGCCGGTTCCTAATAACTTACCGGTGGTTGTTGCATTATATTTCACTTTAATGTAAGTTGCCTTAAATCCACGATAGCTCCCGTAAGTACCAATATCAGAAACAAACGTCACCCTTAGGACATCTGTTGCCGAATAGTATACTGTCCCACGGTCATTATAGTATCTACATCTTCGCCTGCCTGAAATGCCATCAGAGGATGATCCATTTTGTATTTCCAGGTAGTCACACGTGCAAGATGACCCACAGCTGCGAATATGAATGTCTTTAATGACCAACACAATGCGTTCTTCTTTACTTGCTATAATTTTCCAGCTGCAATTCTCGTTAGAAGGGTAACGCCTTGGATAGTAAGCACTTGTAAGAACTCCTGATGTCTCATTCAGGGTTGCCATATTGGGACAGACTGCAAGCCATGTAAATGGACTGAGCGTAAGTATTGAGGATAATTAGAATTATACCACTTTCAAGGAAGAATCCAGTTAACGTAAGAAGGAATTAGACGAAAACCAAATGCGGTACGGAAGGACTAAATAATCTAGGGATGCCCCAGAAGATTTTTTGTTTGTTCTGGAATACCTTTTTTAATTATCGAGATTAAATTAGCTGTGGTCACACTACAGACTTTTTACCTAGGTAAACACGACTTGTTGACAGTTTACCTAGGGAAACTTGATTTTTTAAGTGTGACCGATTTTTCCCTAGGTAACTTACCTCGGGGAAATTTTATCGTCTGGGTCTTGGACATGTCTCGAAAACAATAGAGTTTCCCTTGACAACTACCCCAAAGCAATAGCTAGGGAAAAATGAAATACCGAGGTTGCTAGCCAATAGACGCTCGTCGGCGAAGGTCTTGATGACAGAACCGGACATAGATCAAGCTGTGAAAGAAATTTTGGGAGCGCAAGTCGTCTACGTCTTCGCCTTTCTTCACCTTGCACGTTGAATTAGCGTAAGAAATAACAGCGAGATAAAAGAAAAAACGTCTCTTTGATCAGCTAGATCCCTGCGCATTTTGCCTTCTTGAATTTACGCTTCAAAAAATTTAACAGGCGTGAAAATATTGGGAGCCGATATCAGTAGTGTGACCTTCCCAGAATTTTTACCTAGGTAAAACAAAACCCGAGATGAATTTACCTAGGTAGATTTTTGATGAATTTGCCCTAGGTAAAAAGGGTTTACCTAGGTAAAAGTCTGTAGTGTGACCACAGCTATTGTGAACAATTCACAGACAATCGACTGCCTTCCTACGATGTTTTTGAGAGTCCGTTCCACGACCATCCTCGAAGACCCAGGGACAGTCAGTCCGGTCCGGAGAAAGGGCGGGACGAAAGTTTTGAAGTACGGGTGAAAGAGCCCATGGGTACCGACTCTCACCAAGCTATTTCCAAAAATTTAAGCGGATACCGGCTCCTGATTGGGCACAAAAAATGCTTTGTATTATTGTGCCCAATCGGCGAACAGTTTCTACTGAATTCTCTTCGTGAGTTCCTACACGTACTTGAAAACTTTCGTCCCGCCTTTTCTCCCTACCCGACTGACTGTCCCTGGGTCTCCGAGGATGTTCCGTGACTGAAACCAACAATTTAGTCGGTATTAGGCGTCTGCTTTTACTCTGGCTTGAAAAACTGTTCTGTCGTTCAGTTTGTCTTTCTTTGTTATGAAAGCTCATGTGAACAACAGCTACATTAGGAAAATTCACAAACAACGCAGCATTAACTATGAGGAATATGTTCGTGGGTAATCATTATTATCTCTTTAGTAAAAGCATCCTCCCTCGGAGACCCAGGGGCGGATAGTTGAGGGAGAAAAAACGGCCTCCAAATGATTCAAGAACGGGAGAGAGGACAAAGGGATGCTACTCTTGACGAACCAGTTTCACGACTTGCTCGATTAATTGTCTGTGATTTGCATTGGCACTAAAAATAATTTAGTGTCCTACAAGAGGCCAGCATCTATCGCGTTGCTTTCGCGATCTTCTTATACGAGGAAGGTTAACCGCAAAATCGATTGTTCGCCGTACATGTTTGGCTCTTGCAGGAGAGATTTCTTCAGCAAAAATGAACCCACAAAACCAAAGAACTTATATAATACTCCGATTACAGAAAGAAAAACGGAATTTACATAGAAGGGAGGCTTAATGGCCCTTGCGGCAAATTTAAATTAACTAACACGGCGGACGATCAAGTCGATCTTACTCCAGGCTGGCTTTAGTGAAGAAGAGATAGAAAAATTGACCGTTGCTCAACTAAAGTTTTGGTTAAATTGCCGCCGTATAAATCAAACTGGTAATAAGAAGAAACTGTTGGAAAGGTGTCTGATGTTATATTTCTGGGCTTTTCGAAAGCGTTCGACAGTGTCCGCAATGAGTGCCTGCTTTTAAAGCTCAATAGGAACGGTATAGACAGGAAACTCTACCGGTGGTTCAGGATATTTTTTAACCAACACAAGACAAAGAGTACAGTTACGTGGATCGTATTCCGAATGGTTGCCTGTTATATCTGGCGTCCCTCAAGGCTCAATCCTGGGTCCGATTATATTTCCTATTTACGTGAACGACATACCTAACATTATTACACCTACCACCAAGTTATTTGCTGACGATACTAAAATCTATAGACAGATAAACAAAATGGAAGATTCTAAGGCTTTAATATATAGATTTAGCCAGGGCTAAAAGCGAAGCTCCAATTAAGAAATTTATAATTTAAATCAAACAATAAACTTTTAATCCACAAATCATTTAACTTAAGGGCACATTCATGTGACTTTTGAGAGAAAGGCTAAGTTTTTTTAGAGTGAAACACACACATGTCCAATATACACAAACGGATACGATTCGTCAAACTGATGCTCCATTGGTACCAATGGTACGATTGGTACCAATGGAAAAGCACCCTATTCCAATGGTTCTATTGGTGAATATGCATCTCATTAAGGGGGCTTAGATTATTTTCCCATGTGACCTGGCTGGGTACAGGGCAATTCCGATGGTCCATTGGTACCAATGGTTCGATTGGTACCAATGGAAAATGATGCCATTCCAATGGTTCTATTGGTGCAAAACAAGTTCACTTTTACACCAAGTGAAAACGCGCTAATAATTATTATGAACGTTCCTCGTTCTATAAGAAAACCACGCAAAACAAGTTCGCTTTTACATCAAGTAAAAGCGCGCTATAATTCTTATAAATATTCCTCGTTCTATATCCCAATCACGCAAAACAAGTTCGCTTTTACACCAAGTAAAAGCGCGATATGATTCTTATGAATATTCCTCGTTCTATAAGCCAACCATGCAAAACAAGTTCGCTTTTACACCAAGTAAAAACGTGCTAATAATAATGAATATTCCTCGTTCTATAAGACAACCACGCAAAACGAGTTCGCTTTTACACCAAGTAAAAACGCGCTAATAATTATTATGAATATTCCTCGTTCTATCAGCCAACCATGCAAAACAAGTTCACTTTTACACCAAGTAAAAACGCGCTAATAATTATTATGAATATTCCTCGTTCTATCAGCCAACCATGCAAAACAAGTTCGCTTTTACACCAAGTAAAAACGCGCTAATAATTATTATGAATATTCCTCGTTCTATAAGCCAACCACACAAAACAAGTTCGCTTTTACACCAAGTAAAAGCGCGCTATAATTCTTATGAATATTCCTCGTTCTATAAGCCAACCATGCAAAACAAGTTCGCTTTCACACCAAGTAAAAACGCACTAATAATTATTATGAATATTCCTCGTTCTATAAGCCAACCACACAAAACGAGTTGCCTTTTACACTAAGTAAAAACGCGCTAATAATTATTATGAATATTCCTCGTTCTATAAGCCAACCACGCACAACAAGTTCGCTGTTACACCAATTAAAAACGCGCCATAATTCTTATGAATATTCCTCGTTCTATTGGCTAACCACGCAAAACAAGTTCGCTTTCACACAAAGTAGAAACGCGCTAATAGTTACAAAGCGAGGGCGACCTATATATCTAGCGCTAATAATATCTCAAGGTGCTGCGAGTATAACAAACATCGTACGAACATTAAAATTGAAAGGTAACGCGTCACTGTCGTGTTCGTTCTGTTTATTGTGATTCACGAGCAAACAACGACATGACATATGAATGTCTTCTTTCCTGTACGCAAGCACTATTTTTTGGGAATTCTTACTCGTTAAAAGAACCCGAAACAACGCGGAAAGGCGCGAAACTAGCAAAGTGGTATTGAGGCAACAGGTTTTAACAACTGTACTCGATTCACTGTGAAATTAACTTCTGAAATTTCTTAGCGCAATTTCATTATCTACATGGAAGCGTTTAAACCAAAACAAGTTTTCAATGAAGAGTTTCCGAAAAGGGTGGTTATATCATGCTGTTGGTTATGACTTTGTATTGTATTTGGTGGCTCCTAAGAGAGCCGTTCTACATTCAAGTGACTGAGTCTTTTTTGACTGTTGACGTGGGGTTTGTCGTGGTAACCCATTGAGGTACACCAGTTTGCTATAATCAACGTCGTAGTAAAACCATTGATGTATTTAATGTCAACGTTGTCGTTGACAAATTGTATTTGCAGTGCTCTTTTCTCGGCTGTAGCTTGCGATGAGGCCCAGGACTGAGCTAGAAGAATCCATCTACCGACGGTTTCAGGATTCCACCCGTTGCCGTGGAAAAACAGCAGAAGTTTGAATGTCTCCTTATCACTCATAAACGTGTGAATCGACGGGGATTTTTACTTTATAATGGTGCATATTCACCAATAGAACCACTGGAATGACATCATTTTCTATTGGTACCAATCGTTCCATTCCTACCAATGGACAATTGGAATTGCCCTTTACCCAGCCAGACCACATGAGAAAATAATCTAACTCTCTTAATGAGATGCATATTCACCAATAGAATCATTGGAATAGGGTGCTTTTCTATTGGTACCAATCGAACCATTGGTACCAATGGACCATTGGAATTGCCCTGTACCCAGCCAGACCACATGAGAAAATAATCTAAGTCCCCTTAATGAGAAGCATATTCACCAATAGAGCTATTGGAATATGGTGCTTTTCTATTTGTACCAATCGTACCATTGGTACCAATGGACCATTGGAATTGCCCTGTACCCAGCTAGACCACATGAGAAAATAATCTAAGTCTCCTTTATGAGATGCATATTCACCAACAGATCCATTGGAATAGGGTGCTTTTCCATTGGTACCAATGGACCATTGGAATTGCCCTGTACTCAACTAGACCACGTGAGAAAATAATCCAAGTCTCCTTAATGAGATGCATATTCACCAACAGAACTATTGGAATAGGGTGCTTTTCCATTGGTACCAATCGCACCCTTGGTACCAATGGACCATTGGAATTGCCCTGTACCCAGCTAGACCACATGAGAAAATAATCTAAGTCTCCTTAATAAGATGCATATTCACCAATAGAACTATTGGAATAGGATGCTTTTCTATTGGTACCAATCGTACCATTGGTACCAATGGAGACCCTTCTTATCACCACTAACACCAATGGAGTCTATTTGTGAGTATTGGACAACCCTCATTTTTCGCCGAGGAACAAATTTAAACTTCAATTCTTACCTTACAGTAATCCGTTCTCTTACCTTGCATTCGACAGTGTGGTTGGCTTATAGAACGAGGAATATTCATAATAATTATTAGCGCGCTTTTACTTGGTGTAAAAGCGAACTTGTTTTGCGTGGTTGGCTTATAGAACGAGGAATATTCATAATAATCATTAGCACGTTTTTACTTGGTGTAAAAGCGAACTTGTTTTGCGTGGTTGGCTTATAGAACGAGGAATATTCATAATAATTATTAGCACGTTTTTACTTGGTGTAAAAGCGAACTTGTTTTGCATGGTTGGCTTATAGAACGAGGAATATTCATAAGAATCATAGCGCGCTTTTACTTGGTGTAAAAGCGAACTTGTTTTGCGTGATCGGGATATAGAACGAGGAATATTCATAAGAATTATAGCGCGCTTTTACTTGATGTAAACTTGTTTTGTGTGGCTGGCTTATAGAACGAGTAATATTCATAAGAATTATAGCGCGCTTTTACTTGGTGTAAAAGCGAACTTGTTTTGCGTGGTTGGCTTATAGAACGAGGAATATTCATAATAATTATTAGCGCGTTTTTACTTGGTGTAAAAGCGAACTTGTTTTGCGTGGTTGGCTTATAGAACGAGGAATATTCATAATAATTATTAGCACGTTTTTACTTGGTTTTAAAGCGAACTTGTTTTGCATGGTTGGCTTATAGAACGAGGAATATTCATAAGAATCATAGCGCGCTTTTACTTGGTGTAAAAGCGAACTTGTTTTGCGTGATTGGGATATAGAACGAGGAATATTCATAAGAATTATAGCGCGCTTTTACTTGATGTAAAAGCGAACTTGTTTTGCGTGGTTTTCTTATAGAACGAGGAACGTTCATAATAATTATTAGCGCGTTTTCACTTGGTGTAAAAGTGAACTTGTTTTGCACCAATAGAACCATTGGAATGGCATCATTTTCCATTGGTACCAATCGCACCATTCGTACCAATGGACCATCGGAATTGCCCTGTACCCAGCCAGGTCACATGGGAAAATAATCTAAGTCCCCTTAATGAGATGCATATTCACCAATAGAACCATTGGAATAGGGTGCTTTTCCATTGGTACCAATCGTACCATTGGTACCGATGGACCATTGGAATTGCCCTGCACCCAACCAGGTCACATGGGAAAATAATCTAAGTCCCCTTAATGAGATGCATATTCACCAATAGAACCATTGGAATAGGGTGCTTTTCCATTGGTACCAATCGTACCATTGGTACCGATGGACCATTGGAATTGCCCTGTACCCAGCCAGGTCACATGGGAAAATAATGTAAGTCCCCTTAATTAGATGCATATGCACCAACAGAACCATTGGAATAGGGTGCTTTTCTATTGGTACCAATCGTACCATTGGCACCAATGGACCATCAGTTTGACGAATCGTATCCACCGATATGCACGGCATTCTCACTAGAAATATAAACAAACGTAGCGGGGAAAAAAAGACGAGGAGGAAAAAATGCCAGATCTTCGCCTCGGCAATGTATTCCAGCTATTATGCCGCCGTATCTCCAGAAGGTGGACTCGAAGTGGGACAAACCTTGTGATTTTTTTTAGAAGCCCTTTGCGCGTAAACTAATTTATTCTGGCGCGAAATGAAGATTAACAATCTGTATACTGAAATCTAATCCACGACAAGAAGATTTTCGCACTGTAGCGCGACATATTAAATGCCTATTTTTACAAGTACGCGGAGAAAGTGGTCCACTAGTTTAACTTTTTTAAGATGAATTTACTCCACAAAAGCAAAATGAAATGTTTTATCTCTATGTTGTTTACGTGCCTGATTAGAAGGCAGAAGTAAATTCATCATACAGACCCCATCAAAATGAAAGTACACGAATGAAACGGAATAAGTCTGGGACGGTTTAGTTTCTACTCAGCAGCTTCTTTGCTTCTATAACAAAAATTTAACGTTGCAGTCTGTTTTAAACGTTGGCATATCAACGCGCAAAGTCACTGAATGAAAACAACAGTCACGATCACGTTCTTCGAAACCGACCAGACGCGCGCGACCTACCACTGTTATGGTAAGCAATTATCCTGAAGGTGTTAATATTCCCGTGACAGTCTTCGCACTGAAGGTGTAAGTGGTAAACCAAACGGTCGCTTTGATCATCAGAAAGACCTGTCAACTTTGATGATTTAATTGATTAAATCACGGGACAGAAATTTTACTGCATGCGGCTCCTCGTGTGTGGTGCGGACGGACGGGCGGGCGGGCGGTGTACGGTCACGTGATTACCAAATTTTCTCGGATGGGTAGATTTACTTACCCATGGTGCTCCGCAGGCGCGCTTCGCGTGCCAGAGCTCCGCTACTAAGCTATGAGGCTCCGCCCACGCGCGCGCTTCGCCCGCGTGGAGCTCCGCTAAAATCTGATCTAACCGCCCTTGATCTATGGGCGGATGGCTGGCAGTAAAATTTAATCCTAGCAAATGTGAGGTCATGAGAATCACTCATAATAAAGACAAAAGTACCACACGGTACCAAGTCTAGGGTACTGAGTTAAGAAATGTATTCAATTATAAAGATCTTGGAGTTATCATGGCGAATGACCTGAGCTGGACAAAACATGTCAATGAAACAGTTCATGAAGCAAACATAGGTTCTTGGCTTGCTTAAACACACAGTAAGGAGTAAAAATAAGGACATTTTTTAAATTTTGTATAATTTCCTCCGATACTTGAATACGCTAGCCCGGTGTGGTCACCACATCTAGCTAAAGACATCCATGAAACTGAGAGGGTACAAAGGAGAGCTTAACGAATCGCCCTAGGCCAAAGAAGAAATTGCCTGATAGTGCGAGTAGCTCCCTAAAATGTAATTGTTTTAAATTTTGCCTGTTTGTTTATGACTGTCGTTTCCCTCAATGTAATGTAATTCGAATACCGGAATCGGTAAAACAATTCTACCTTAGGAATCCGGAATCTAACTGCCACTGACAGCCGGAATCCAGTTCCTGGAATCCAGAATTCAAGACTTTCTTGGATCACGTTTTATAGGGCGAGTTGTTGTTAGTGATGTTTTTTAAATCTTAACTCAGTCGTTGATGTGTTATAAATAATGTATACCACGTACCTGAACTATACGTTATAGCCGTGTAAGTTGCATTAAACCCTGGGTATTGACTGCTTAGAGACGTGAATATGACTTGAACAGAATTCCCTACCGAATACACTGGAAGAGGAAGAGACCGACCGCACAGCATGAACGGTTGATACCCATCATCTGAAGCAACATTTGTAACTGTAACACGGGCTCCAGGAGCATAATGATAGCAGGGAATGTACTGATGTGGCTCTAATCGAAAATAGATGAAGCTGAGTTTAATGATGTACCCGCTGGGAACTGTGATATTCCAGATACATCTGCTGTACTGAGGGAAGTTACTAGGAAAATTTGGAGTTGAAAAGAACCCACGAAATCCATATTTACCAGAGGTACAAGCTGCAACAAGAGGAAACAAACTATGATTTAGCTTTATAATACAAAATGAAAGAGTAATCTGTCTGTGAACCAAAAAAAAACACAAAACAAAACAGAAAACCAAATCAAAAGCGTTGCAATAGATAATTATAAAAAAAATAGGAGATTTTCGACCAAACACTTTTAACATCTTCCGAATCAAAATTGTCAGCATTTCATCGGCATTTTAGCTTGGGTTGTTTTACTCCGTAAAGTATTTGAATATTACAGTTACTATAAGCCTGTTATAGGGGAATAATATTTCATATATTTTGGTTGAAAGTTGATCACCTGATGGCCTACACATAAACCTTTAACTTTGCGTTTACAGCCGATTTCTAATAACTTACCGGTGCCGGTGTTTGTTGCATTATATTTCACTTTCATGTAAATTGCCCTAAATCCACGGTACCCCGTAACTCGGCCAGCAGAAACAAACGTCAACCTCAGGACATCTTTTGCTGAATGGTATACTATCCCACGCTCTTTATAATATCTACATCTTCGCCTGCCTGAAATGCCATCAGAAGATGAGCCATTTTGTATTTCCAGGTAATCGCACGTGCAAGATGAACCACAGTCCCGAATATAAAGGTCCTCAATGACCAACACAATGCGTTCTCCTTCACTTGCTGTAATTTTCCAGCTGCATTTCTCGTAAGAAGGGTAAAGCCTTGGATAGTAAGGACTGGTAAGAATTCCTGATGTCTCATTCAGGGTTGCCATATTGGGACAGACTGCAAGCCATATAAATGGACCGACTGTAAGTATCGAGGACATATTAGAATTATACCACTTTTAAGAAAGAATCTAGTTAACGCGCGTGAGAAGAAATTAGATCAAAACCAAATGCGGGACGGAAGGATTTAATAATTTAGGGATGCGCCAGAAGCTTTTTTTGGTTCTGGAATAACCTTTTTTTTAAATTATCGAGATTATATTGTGAACAAATCACAAACGATTGACTGCCTTCTTACGACCGATGTTTTTAAGAGTCCGTTCCACAACTCAAACGAACATTTTAGTAGGTATTAGGCGTCTGCGCTTTCTTTAACACGAAGATTTGTTCTGTCGTTCTTTGTTATGAAAGTTCATGTGAACAACAGCTACATTAGAAAAATTCACAAACAACTCAACATAAACTATGAGAAATATGTTCGTGGGCACTTGGAAAGATTATTTTTATTACTTTGGTAGAAGCATCCTCGGAGACCCAGTGTCGGTCAGTTGAGTCAGGAAAAACGGCGGCAAACGTTTTCAATAACGGGCGAGAGAGCCTCTGGAATGCTACTCCTAAGGAACCAGTTCCACGACTTATTCGAAGGCTTGTCTGTGATGTGGCACAAAACAATAATTTTGTGCCCAACAAGAGGCCAGCATCTATCGCCTTGCTTTCGTAATCTTCTTATACGAAGACGTTTACCTCCAAACTCGACTGTTCACCGTACATGTTTGGCTCTTGCAAGGGAGCTTTCTTCCTCGAAAATGGAGCCCAAAAACCCAAGGGCGCTTTCCATTCAACAAAAATTCCAATTTAAAATTTCGGAAATTTGCGAGCCTTTTGGATCGGTACATTCCGGTTGCATAGACCCGACCCAAGCCACCGCGCGTTTGGTTATTGTTCTTGTAACCAGGATACAAGGGAGCAGTACTGGGAACAACAATTTTGTCAAATGGAAAGGGACATTTCGGTCCTACCGACCGAAATGACCAGACCGTTGAAATAGGACCGCCTTCAAAGCTGGTCCCGAATGTTTCGTTCAGACCAAATCAAAACGGTCCGTTCCATTTGATGTACCAACCGAAAATTATGGAGGCCCGTTCTGGTCAAAATTAATATAATAAAATGGCACCACCAGTGACTTTTTCGGCCAGTGCAGCATTTATTATGGACCTCTTGAGTATTTTTGTCATTACTACACAGGATTTTTTTAGTGTGTTTTTATTTTTTTTAGCTGCATGAATTATTTTTAATTAAGGCTGTTTACCTTTTTTTATGTTGTTGTGTGAATAAATTTTTCGTGCGTACCACAAATAAATTTTTAGTGGTACCGCGAATTATTTTTAATACAAGTATTGAGAATTATTTTTTCATCGTGCTGATAATTATTTTTCGCTGTATCGAGAATTTATTTTTGGTTCTACAATGCTTTGCGGGCCTTGCAGTTGAAGTGGACTGGTTCGAGTCTTTGACTTCTTGAGCGACCATTTTGAAAACTTTGCAAGTGGAGGAGTGTTTTCAAAGAGAATGCCAAGGCGAAACATTGTCAGAGAACTGAAACGACAGAGGTTTTCATCTTTCTTACAAAATCTGTCAGGAGCTAGTAGTCTGTCGTTAGTGATGAGGTTTTCTGGACCGAAGATTTAATAGAGGAGACTACGAAGGGACTTCACGACTCGTACACAATTCTAACCCTTATTCAGAACATGACATGTCTGCCCGATTGAACTGTTCTTTACCCGGTCTTGTCCTCGAGTCTTCGTCTCGCACTACACATGCTGGTTTTCGGAACGAAGACGCAGAGAATGAGAGTGGGAAATTCGATTGATTTATCTAATATTTATGTTATGGCGTTATTGGCTATACATCTCAGGTATCTGACGTTGGACCGACTCATTCATCTCCGAATATTAAAAACATAATGTTAAAAATCAGGAATTACTATACTGCCATCGTAAAGGCACTCGAGCAAGTTCCCCATGTTAGTTAGTTAGTGAGGTCTACTCTCACTAGCACTCTGCGAAGGTCATATACCTCGAATCCATTTGGCTCTGCTAGTTCTTATGCCCCCCCGTCAGGATTTGAATCGGGAGATTTTTCCTGAAGTTCAGGGTAGAGGGCATTCTCTTTCACAGCAATGACGATGACAATGACAATGCTTTATTTATTTGGAGTCTTATACAGTCCAATGTACATTGACTTTATCCAAATAATTTAGAATCATAACACAAATTGCACACTAGTGGAACTATAATCAATGTTAACCTAAAGAACTAATGATGTTCTTTTCTCATAGCAGTCGAATACGTATTTTGCAATTAACTTTTGCACTGGTTTGTTCTTGCTCAGCATCTTCCTTCCCGAAAGCCAGCATGTGAGGTACGGGACGAAGACTCGAGGTGTAAGATTGGGTAGAGAACTGTTCAATTGGGGAGACATGTCATGTGCGATAAGCAGGGTGTCCAGCGGCATGGTTGCTCAAAAATATAGGCAAATAGAAGACTCAGCATTGAGAAAATAGGAAAAATAGGAAACTTTGTTTTAAAAAATAGGAGAAAAATGGGAAAATCAATAGTACTTTTGTGGACAAAGGTAGCCTCCCTGCACCCCATCAGGGTTATAATAAATGCCACGAGTCCTCAGATTCTACGTTCGCAGGACTGAGATCAACTTTCGCGGCTAAGAAGGAGTAAAAATGATCAGTAACGTTTAGTTTATTGCCTCAGTAATGCTATAATCAGAATGATATGCTTGACTGCAGGTCAAGCGTGGTTCTATAATCAAAGGTGATCATATGCAAATTCCCCTCAAGTTGGCGGCAAATCTTTGAAAAGCTTTGAAGAGTGAAATTTCTTAGTATAGAAATTTCTTACGATTGAGTTGTCATTGAACGATATCGAACTAGAACGTAAAAGTCCTATGGAAAGCTTTCCTTCCATTAATCTGCAATCGGTAGCTGGTTGAGAATATGCTTGTTTGAGTCAAAACACCGCAAAATTTTAAGTACGAAACCAGGCTTTCTGCGGTGTACGCAAAATGACACTGATGTGTTTGGTCTAAGAAGAACATAACACCGCTTAGCTATGACTGCAAGACCGGTTTTGCAACCAAAATATTGGATCCTTCATCAGTTGCTTAGGTATAGCTGTTAACAAGGACTCACCAAGAGAGCTGGCGCCGTACACTAAACTTTAGTCTGTTCTTTTCATGTAGCATCCAGAATCAGCTAGTGATCATGATTGGTTTTTAAAAACAAGATGCTGATTGGATTGGCCTGTGTTGTGAGAGGACAACTTGATCCTGTTTTCAGTTTCAAAGATGATCATAAAAGTGAGCAAGACTTCAAAATAAAATATAACATGTACAGATACTGAAATGCAGTTTCAGTGGGCTATACACAATATTATTCAATAGTCAGGAGGAGAACTATAACACTACATACAATACATGTACATGAAGGTTAACAAAAATGTTAACAGAACTCTAACAGGCAATAGAGGTCATGGAAAGAACAAACGTAACTGTTATTTTTACTAATATTAGAATATCAAAGTCAACATACTACTTGCTTTATGATAAATTTCACTCAAAAACACGTACAATTATAATTTCATTTTCAATTTTGTTAGCCTTCACCGGCTAAAAAATAGGAAAAATATGAGGTTTTAGTTTAAAAATAGGAGAAAATAGGAATAGGCTCAAAAAATAGGAAAAAATAGGAACTGGACACCCTGAATAAGGGTTAGAATTGTGTACGAGTCGTGAAGTCCCTTCGTAGTCTCCTCTATTGAATCTTCGGTCCAGAAAACCTCATCACGAACGGCAAAGACTACTGGCTCCTGATAGATTTTGTAAGAAAAATGAAAACCTCTTTTGTTTCTTTCCCTGACAATGTTTCGTCTTGGCATTCTCTATCAAAGCACTCCTCCACTTCAAAGTTTTCAAAATGGTCGCCCAAGGAAGTCAAAGACTCGAACCAGTCCACTTCAACTGCAAGGCCCGCAAAGCATTGTAGGCCCAAAAATAAATTCGCGATGCAGCGAAAAATAATTATCAGCACGATGAAAAAATAATTCTCAATACTTGTATTAAAAATAATTCGCGGTACCACCAAAAAATTATTTGTGGTACGCATGAAAAGTTTATTCATACAACAACATAAAAAAAGTAAACAGCCTTAACAAAAAATAATTCATGCAGCTAAAAAAAAAAGTAACAACACACTAAAAAAATCCTGTGTAGTGATGACAAAAATACACAACGGGTCAATAATAAATGCTGCACTGGCCGAAAAAGTCACTTGTGATGCCATTTTATTATATTAATTTTGACCAGAACGGGCCTCCATAGAAAATTTCTGAATTTTGGGTTGAATGGAAAGCGCCTCAAAGAAATTCTTTTATACTCGGATTTCAGAAAAAAAAAACGGAAGTTGTGTGGAAGTGAGATTTTTAAATTTAAAATAGGGACTTTACGATCCGACGAGGAAAAAAAGTGAATTTACGTTCTTTTAGCCTTTATTCGATCATTCCTACCCATTTTCTTTATCAAAAGTAAGCAAACCTCTCTGGAGTTGAATTGCTAGGATCCCTTTCCAAGTTCCAAAAGAGAAATAAATTTTGGTCGTTGCTTGTTTACGTCCTCAATAAAAAGAAATGTAGGAAAAAGTGTGATGCACGTGCAAAGTTGTTGTTTTGCCTTGTAAACCTTTTGCTTTTTTGACGACGTCCTCGTTGTCATCGCGTCATCGGATCGTAAGCTACCTAATAACTAACATGGCGGACTTACTTGTGGGAACATTCCTCTTGCTGGCTTCAGTGAAGAAGAGATACAGAAAAATTGACCGTTGCTCAACTAAAGTTTTGGTTAAAATGCCGCCGTATAAATCAAAATGGTAATAAGAATCGCCCCATGTAAGGGAATCCATGACAGTCTTGGATTCTGGATTCCACCCTGTGGATTCCGGATTCCGAGTACTGGATTCTGGATTCCAGCTCAGTGGATTCCGGATTCCAAAAAGGGCTGGATTCCAAATTTTTTCTGTTTTAATGCTTTTCTTCTCGATTCTTCGCAGTTCGCTTTCGTGTTCAAATCTTACTATATTGAAAGACGTTGTTTAGAATGCATAACAAGTTTGTTTTCTTTTTCGATTTATAAATTACCGAAAATTACGAGAAGAAATGTATTACTGTTCCGTAAGGGTTTAAGGTATAATAATGAGGGGGGCATTGGGGAACTGTCCACATCGCAACACCGCGGAAAAAAAATAACAAACATCGCATCACCGCAAAAAAACGTGGCAAAACACCCACATCGTAATTTTAAATTTTGTCCTTTGATTAATCTAGTCCAAATCTCCATATGATTAGGGATCTCGGATCTCGGAGCTGATTTAGTGATTAGCAGAGAGTGAGATTGACCTCAAGACTCTATTTTTCACTTACTCTATTTTTGCGAACTCTATTTTCAGGTATGCACATAGAAAAATGCTTAATTAGCAGAAACAAAAGAACTCTTGCAAATCACTCCTAAATATTCAGGTTTATTCATTTGATTGCCACATAATAAAGTATTGGGAAAAGGTACAGTCATTTCCAGGGAAAATCGAGCGGCAATTTGCAAGAAAACGGCCTAACAAAGTTCGTGTGTAACTGCAAATCAATTTTTCCTATCTATGCCATATCATAAACCAGCGAAGGTTAATCAAGTCTTTTGCTATCCACCAATAATATGATAGAAGGTTCATTTTGTTTGTATGTCGTTACATTCGTAGTTTTCCTTGTCCTATCCGAACGGCTGGAACAGGCTACGTCGAATCATGTTTACAAACTCTTTTGGAACATTAAAACAGTATTTCGAAGTAATATTATGTTTTAGGTTTTTCGTTCTTTTTCTACTTTTTATTGGAATCATTGTCATAGCGCAAAAAGCTAAATTCGGGTACTGCTCTTTTCTAAAACTTTCATTTATAGAGACAAAGTAAGCTGTAGAACACGCGCATTAGATATCACTTCTTAACTGAATTGCTTTCACACTTTCTCATATGACTCATAAGACACGAATTTTAGCCAAAAGCAAAAAAATACACTTCTCCTAGGACGGGATAAGCATATATACTCAGTAAAAGATTGACAATCAAAAAGAGCACTACAGAGGATTAAATTGGACTTCAAGCTGACAAAAGTGGTGTCCCGGTCAGCGCGGCCCTAAAGTGACTAAAGTTGACCGTGTCACATAATTGTCTAAGAATGATAACATAGCTCAAAATAAATTTCGGACAGTGGCCGGACCATGTCACGTCTCGACGTTTTTGACTGGTCAGAATAAAGATCAAAAGTCAGTAACTCTTGTCAGTCTGCAAGCCCAAAACTATCAGTTACTTGGTCTAGTTGTTGCTGAACCATTTAAATCGGGTTCAAAAAGTGGCTTAATAGACAAAACGGCTCAAAACGTAGTCAAAGATAGCCTGATTTGCCCGCGTTCAGTCAAAACTGTAGAGCTGAACTTGTTTGTTCTTTATCAGGGCGTAATAAGCTAGGGCGTTGAAACGAGCGGGGTCGAGCGATCTAGCTGTGATGCAAGGGTCTGGGTACTGCCAAAGAGACAAAACAAGATGGCGGACATTATACTGGATCGTCAGAGAAATTATCCAGCGGACGTTAGCCATTATCCCGGGGCATTCATTTGCTGCAAGCAATAGCGAATGAACAAATTATTTTTTCTCACGTTCGTTTTCTGTTTTATTCAATTTTTCCCCCGCGAACAAATATCTGTATTGAATACAGTTCCACCTCCGTGACCTGTATTAAAATTGCGTGACTTGGTAAGAAAATGGCATCACAACTCAGATGATAGCACTGACATCATTTTTAGACTAATATTATCGGTTCTCTACTTCAGTTTAATATCAAGTTGTGTAACTCATCATCTGCTATGGCATTTATTTTTTGCTGCCCAGTTTCAAGGGCAGATGATCTGTTTTCACTATTATCATAGTTTGGATTTGTAGGTGTACATTAGTATCCTTCTCTAAACACCTTATTGAGCTATCTGCAATATTGAGCATTACAGTTGGACAGATTGTGAAAACTTAAGTCCGGGTAAATTTAAAATATAATAAAATCATTGTTATTTTTTATCTTGTACACTAATACTACTGTGCAATGGGCATGAAGAATAAGTATGTGAAAACAATATAATTCACTGCCCTTGAAAAAATAAGAAAGAGGTCACAAGAACACAAATAAGTAGCCCAGCAAATATTTTTGTTTGATAATAACAGCTTTTTGTAATGAAATGGTCCCTGAAAACTACCCATGCAAGACATACTAAGGAACTTAAAAGAAACTAAACATTCACTAGTCTTACATTGAAACCAGACATTGCTATATCAATATATCTTACAGATACAACATAAAACATTTATATAACATACAAATTCAAACTGAATATACTGCAAACAAGAAAATTATACAGAATTATACACAAATGAAACACAAATGGCCTTTAGCAGCTATTAAACTATTGAAAAACAAACTTTTTGACCAGCAACCCTAGCACACTTGTATACTTCATGTCCAGTATGATTCAGTTTCATTCTTGGTTAAATTTATTAACTGCAGCCAGGCTTAATCAAACTTGATTCAAAAAATACTTTCCTAGTTTCATTGTAACTACAATGTATGATATTAAGAGAGAGGATATAATGCTAGAAATAATATACAGTACTACAATCAAAAGATAAGGCACCTCCAGGAAATCGAGTTGGTTCCTACTATTCTTCAGTCATTTTCTTTTACTCTCTATAAGAGTTACACCTGTCAGTCCCAATAGTTTCCATCTGAGAGCTGACTGTAGTTTGTGCAACACAGCACTTTAGCCTCTGACGACAAAAATACAATGCTACACAGTCTTAATTTATTCTACTTGCAATCAAATTAAGACCTCTTCATGTTCTTCTTCATATTCACGGTATTATGAACTCGTTTATCTTTCAGTGTGTGTTCTAGTAGTCTTTTCAGACCGGGCACTCACTGTTGTCCTGCAACAAATCATAATAACAAACACATTCTATGATTTAATTTTTACAGTGGAATCTTTGTGGGGATTTGAAAGCAAATTTCTCCATAGGCTTCATTCTGTTTCTGTGCAATATAACCTTTAGATTTATACCGCAGTAAAGTAGAATTTGTTGTTGTTCATTTAAAGACTGTCACACGAGATCATTCGAATGCAATTTTCTAGTAGAACTTTCAAAATAGTCAAAACCTTCTTAGATCGCGGTTCTTTAACTAAAAAAAATTATTTACCATCTTATTGTATATTATAAAAAGAAAAATCGCTAAATTGGAAAACTGAAATCTTTTATTTTACTAACAAGCTAAATGCCAAAGTACAAAACAAAAACCTTGCTATCGCCATTTTGAAGTCGTCACTTCAGAAGTAAAAAAATCTTAAAGGTTCATAAAAGTTCACTCTAAAACAAAATGTATAAAACCATTACATATTTTTCTTGTAGCCGTTTATTATCATTTGGTTTAGACTGGCAAGGTAAAACGCGACCTTCAACCTGTAATATTCGATAGGCCATTTTGACAGTACATAAACATAAAAGGCGAAAAAACACCATAACTTATAAGACTAACTATAAAATATCACCTAAATATTTTCTGTATATCGCGTAGAAATACGCCAAATATCAAATTTAATTATAGATTGCAGCGATCTAAAGATATAAAGCAATAAATCCGAACCTACCTCCAGCTAGACGGCGCCATTTTTCTTGCCCTGACAGCGGATCGAGAGCGGAAAGCGAACTAGTTCCAGTCCTACTCCGCATCACAGCTGAACCAGAGAGCGCGTATGAGCGTTTCTACGCCCTAGCTTATTACGCCCTGTTCTTTATTGACTTACGCTACGCAAGCAGCCTTACTGGACAACATCCGAGAGCAAACCACCCCCTCCCCCCTCGCCCTAGAGGTCAATGAAATCCCTCATCTCGTACCCAGATCTCTTGTTGACGAAGCCAAAGGCGAGATCTGGCCCCAGTTGTCGCGTTGAATTTGATGTTAAAAAGATAAAAAACACAAATATTAGTTGGTTGATACTTAAGATGTACGCATAACCACGTTTTGACAGACAAAACTTTACGGCTCTATCAAATTCGTTGTTTAACACGTCAAAAATTGAGGATTAATTCCCGGGGGGGGCACTAAGGTATTTTTTGGGTGGGTATGTGCCGCCCGGGACTCCAAATTGGCACCCCTTTCTTAAAAAAATTTCCCCTTAAATTGATACCCCGTTCTAGAAATGGGCCATTTTTTTATACCCCGTTCTAGAATTCGCCCTAAAACTGATACCCCGTTCTACAAATGGGCCAATTTTGCTCCGTTCTTGGGTGCAACAAGAGTACAACAGTTAGCTTGTTAACGCATTGAACCGTATTTTTAAAAGCAATCTTTCCTTGAATAATTTCAAATGGCTGCTTACCAAACTGGAGCTTTCGTGCGTTCGAAAAATATACCCCTTTCTAGAAAACGCCTCTGAAATGGATACCCCGTTCTAAATCAGGAGCTTCAAAATCACGACCCCGTTGGGCGGCACATACCCGTATAGGTAATGTATGGGAGTACCCCCCGGGGATTAATTTCAAGCATACGCTCTTTCATGGCCTGTCACATTCCTGACAGGCAATCCCGGTTCCAAGTCGGATTTGACCAGATCTCGCCTTTGGCTTCATCAATAAGTAAGAGATCAGAGTGTGAGATTATGAAATCCCCTGGTGAGTTTTATTTCATATTAGCGCGTTCTAGGTGGCTCTAGGATCCATTTCAAAGAAAAAAAAATACGGGCTAAACCGATCTCAGATCAGTCTAATTTCCAAAAGCGACCTCAATGTGAACGAGGCCTAATCACAACTGTAGAACCAGAAAACATGAAAAGTCCGTCTGATCCTCGATCGAGTCTGAGATGACTGAGAGATCGAGAGAAGCTTGCGCGTTTTTGACACGTTGGCTCGTTTTGAGCGTTTAATAATGCATACGATATTTTCCCCAAGGACGACGTAAAATTTATATTACATTCAATTATGATTGAGAAAAAATCAATTAGCGGGCTTAAAACTATAAACTTAACGTTCCTTTTGTTCATGATTGTGACTTGCTTGCCGCCACGTTCAGTACAGTCCACAGATCGACACAAACGAAAAATCATGCCGCTTAGATCTATCGCAGTCAGCTAAAAATTGGTATAAAATTTCACAACACAGTATTACTGGTACCTTTCTCTCTCAGCCTTTTGTTTTTGCTTGTGCTTTCCAATAACAGTAGAAAAGAAAAATCCAAGAAAAAACAACAAACTTCAAACTGGTCTGATCGAAGAGGTGGCGAGATTTCAATCGAATACCGGGGGATGAATGAAAAAGGCACCCACCACGTCCTTGCACGTGATTACTTTAGTGACAGCTAATTGGTACGGTTCTGACGGTTCCTGGCTTATTTCTCAAATAACGGTAAACTGTTGAACGTAGACGTTAACTTTCATCTGTGAACCAGGAGGACCAGGAAGGTTCAAGAAAAGGTTCACCCCAGGTGCACCTTTTCCAGTCCTAGGCCAGGTCAAAACGCTCGCATAAAATCGATTTTGATTTTTTAAAGTTCAGAGAAGCGAGTAAACAACAGAGAATCAAACATAGCCAGAGGTCGAAGTTATTCATAACAATTCAATTTAAACCTTAAAAAGGCTGCGCTGTGTTCCCTTGAAATCCCCCCAATTTTGTGATTCTCCCAGCCGCTCATAAGCAAGGGTTCCCTCGCTATTGTAGAATTTTAATCATGTGGCCGTGACCTCGACTTTTGACACCAGATATGCCGATATTATGTCGTCACGTTCAGGTCTATACCCTCGGGAGGCTTTCCATAGACTAGCCTCCCCGCAGACGTCCTTTGGGGTTCGTTCGTCACGCATTCATTTCTCCCCCACGGATGGTTTTTCTTACGAGCGAGTAGCTCAATTTGACCTGGAGTGGATCTTTAGTAACTTGGATTCCGGATTCTTAGTGCTGGATTCCGGATTCCAAGGCCCAGGATTCCGGATTCCACGAGCAAAAAATTCCTGGATTCCGGAATCCGGATTCCCTTACATGGGGCGATAAGAAGGAACTGTTGGAAAGGTAGGTGTACATCATCAGGCTTTGGGCGATCGATCAGCTGTTTATGCTGCTTATTCTCAACTACAAGATTACATAGAAGTTTAGACACATTTTTTCATACAAAATTTTCTTCTCAGGGTTAAGAACCTCCAAGCAATAAAAATCTAAAAATATATGACAATGACCCAGAGAGGCTCTTCACTATGTAAAGCAAAGTTAGCGAGACAGATTGAAGAACTGAGGAAAAATGGGGAAACGGCGTGTTATGATTCAAATCATTCTAGATACAGATTATCTTATTGTAGAAAGAAATTGGTATGGTTTTTGCGCCGTTTTATCCAAAAACGGTTATAGACTTTGCCCGTTTTGGTCTGGAATCGGGTATAGTTTTCGACGGAGCTACGGTAGTGTATGAATATATTTGTCGATTGGTTTCCAAATGAATAAGAAGAAAAAACGAAAAGATGCGAATTCAAAATCAATTTTGAGAAATCTCGTTGTTGAAGTTCTAATCATACCATTCCAACCATACTCCTCTGCACCACCAAGAAAGATCCATGTCTTAAATAATACTACAATACTTGTCAAGCACGAGTTTGTTATCCGGCATATCTTGGTTATTTTAAGGCTTTAAGCCACGTTATTTTGGATAATTTGATCTTTCTTTGTTGACTCTGAGCCTTAAAAGAGACCTCGTAGGCGAACAAAGTTGTCATCTCCACTTAGAAACTGATGATTCTCGAGAGCATCAGACTTGCGTACGATGTAAAGACGACAAACTTGAAATTAACGTGTTCTTTAAATATACCTGAATGCAATATCTTGTTCAGTTTTACCGATCCAATCGTATTCCTCTTTTGCTCTTTTACATTTTCAAGCAGTAATACGTCAATAATTTCGGAGTCGATTCTTTTGGTCGCCTGTTAAGTACCGACATTGTCTGATAGTGTGAGATCGATCTAACTTCATAAAAAGTAATTGTTTTTGTTTTTATAATGTATACCACGTACCTGAACTATAAGTGATAGCCGTGTAAGTTGCATTAAACCCTGAGTATTGACTGCTCAGAGACGTGAATATGACTTGAACGGAATTCCCCACAGAGTACACTGGATCTGGAAGTTGTTGACCGTACAGCATGAACGGTTGATACCCATCATCTGAAGTAACATTTGTAACTGTAACACGGGCTCCTGGAGCACTATAATAGCAGGGACTGTACTGATATGGCTCCAATCGAAAGTAGAGGAAGCTGAGTTTAATCATGTACCCGCTGGGAACTGTGATATTCCAGGTACACATGCTGTATTGAGGATAGTTATTTGGAAAATTTGGAGTTGAAAAGAATCCACTAAATCCATTAAGGTATTTACCAGAGGTACAAGCTGCAACAAGAGGAAACAAACTATGATTTAGCTTTATAATGCAAAATCAAAGAGTAATCTGGCTGATCCCAAAAAAAGACAAAGCAAAACAAAAAACCAAATCGAAAGCTTTGTAATAGATAATTATGAAAAAATAGGAGATTTTCCACCAAACACTTTTAACACCATGGGAATGAAAATGGCATTTGATGGGCATTTTATTGTGGGTTGTTTTACTCCGTAAAGTAATTGAATATTACAGTTACCATAAGCCTGTTATAAGGCAATAATATTTCATATAACTTCGTTGAAAGTTGATCGCCTGCACTTAAACCTTTAACTTATTGTTTAAAGCCGATTTCTAAATAACTTACCGGTGGTTGTTGCAATATATTTCACTTTAATGTAAGTTGCCTTAAATCCACGGTAGTACCGGTCAGTACCACTATCAGAAACAAACGTCAACCTCAGGATATCTTTTGCCGAATGGTATACTATCCCACGGTCTTCATAGTATCTACATCTTCGCCTGCCTGAAATGCCATCAGAGGAAGAGCCATTTTGTATTTCAAGGTAATCACACGTGCAAGATGAACCACAGGACCGAATATAAAGGTCTTCAATGACCAACACAATGCGTTCTCCTTCATTAGCTGTAATTTTCCAGCTGCATTTCTCGTTAGAAGGGTAACGCCTTGGATAGTAAGGACTGGTAAGAACTCCTGATGTCTCCTTCAGGGTTACCATATTGGGACAGACTGCAAGCAATATAAATTGACGGAGAGTAAGTATTGAGGATAATTAGAATTATACCACTTTCAAAAAAGAAGCTAGCTAACGTGGGAAGGAACAAGAACAAAACCAAATGCGGGACGGAAGGACTGTAATAACTTTGGGATACGCCAGAAGCTTTTTTTGGTTTGTGGCTGGAATAACGTTTTTCAGTTATCGAGATTATATTGTGAACAAGCACAAACAGTTGATTGCCTTCCTACGATGTTTTTAAGAGTCCGTTCGGTGACTCAAACGAACATGTTAGTGGGTATTAAGCGTCTGCGCTTTATTTAATATGGAGATTTGTTCTGTCGTTCAGGTTGACTTTCTTTGTTATGAAAGCCCATGTGAAAAACAGCTACATCAGGAAAACTCACAGACGACGCAACTTTAACTAATATATATGAGAAATGTGTTTGTAAAAAATATTATAGTTATTACTTTGGTACAAGCATCCTTGGAGACCCAGGGGCGCTCAGTTGAGTCAGGAAAAACGGCGTCGAAAGTTTTTAAGAATGGGCGAGACTACCGCTGGGATGCTACTCTTGACGAACCAGTTTCACGACTTATTGGAATAATTGTCTGTGATTTGGCACAAAGAATAATCTAGTGCCCAACAAGAAGCCAGTATCTATAGTGTTGCTTTCGCGATTTTCTTATACGAGGAAGGTTAACCGCAAACTAGATTGTTCGCCGTACATGTTTGGCTCTTGCCGGAGAGCTTTCTTCAGCGAAAATGGAACCCACAAAGCCACAGAACTTTTATAATACTCCGATTCCAGAAAAAAAACGGAAGTTGCTAGGAAGTGAGGCTTAATGGCCTTGGCGGCAAATTTAAAATAACTAACAGGGCCGTACCGGCTAAAGATTGACCTCGGACGGTTTTGGCGATCAAATTTTGAGCTGTTCAGTTAAGGTGACTCGTCCCAGTTTTTTTGGGGGGGTACCATCCTACTTTGAAGCTCTCTGGAATCCCCACCTTTACTTTTATCGTAAGTCTAACACATAGAATGGATAACATATAGATCAATCTGCAATATAACATAAAATTTTTGGCAATCGGAGTAAATGTCACGTGGTTATAATGCCACGTCCTTTTGAGGTCTGAGTCCAAAATCGGCTGTTGCCGGCATTTTTTTGTGAAAATCTTTCGGCTACACATAGTGCGCATTAGTGCCTTGCGCTGAACAGAGTTTCATGAAAATCGCAAAGACCCAATTCGAGAAATTCAGCGGTTTCCAAATTTAGGTCATAATTTATGCGAAAATGATAAGCAAACTTTACACGGATTATATATAATAAACCAAGAGATTCATCCCTTTATTTTGGGCATCGTTATAACAGATGGGTCCTTGCAAGTCAGCAAAACGCTTTAGGGCCTTGTAAATACGCGCGATTTTGAGCAAAGGAAACATATAGAAATTATAGTTTTCGCTATTTGTTGACGTTTGTCAGCGTTTGAGAGTCCTTCTCACGAAAAAAGCATTTTCTTAAAAATTCGTAGTTTTTTTTCCTTCAAATTTTTTCAGGGCCACAATTGATTAACTAACTACCCGGACTCTGAATTTCATGGTCATTGAAAAACTGTGACATTATCTTCTATAAGCTCAAACTTGAGTAAGCATTGAAGATTTTTAGCGTTTTGGCTGAGTTTGTGCTTTGGGAGTTGTCTATTGTTACTAGTCTGTCATTATACAGCATTCTTGTTCAGCACGCGTGCAATGACCACGCTTAGCTGACTTCCGAATGCTCACCGAGATATTCCCGTCACGAGTTGGTTTAATTATTGGCTTGCATTAAACCTATGAAAAAATGATATTTTTGTAATAGTAAGTAGGCTTAGTGTGTAGCACTTCTTGATTTTTTTGCAAAGACACAAGAAGCACGAGAATTGATTAAAAATTGTTAGTTAAACCTCTATGTATCACGCGATGGCCTGTCTCACTGTACCAAATTTATAATATCTCGGTGAGCATTCGGAAGTCAGCCAAGCGTGGTCATTGCACGCGTGCTGGACAAGAATGCTGTATAATGACAGACTAGAAACAATAGACTACTCCCAAAGCACAAACTCAGCCAAAACGTTAAAAATCTTCAATGTTTACTCAAGTTTCGGCTTATAGAAGATAATGTCACAGTTTTTCAATGACCATGAAATTCAGAGTCCGGGTAGTTAGTTAATCAATTGTGGCCCTGAAAAAATTTGAAGGAAAAAAAACTACGAATTTTTAAGAAAATGCTTTTTTCGTGAGAAGGACTCTCAAACGCTGACAAACGTCAACAAATAGCGAAAACTATAATTTCTATATGTTTGCTTTGCTCGAAATCGCGCGTATTTACAAGGCCCTAAAGCGTTTTGCTGACTTGCAAGGACCCATCTGTTATAACGATGCCCAATATAAGGAGATGAATCTCATAGTTTATTATATATAATCCGTGTAAAGTTTGCTTATCATTTTCGCATAAATTATGACCTAAATTTGGAAACCGCTGAATTTCTCGAATTGGGTCTTTGCGATTTTGGTGAAACTCTGTTCAGCGCAAGGCACTAATGCGCACTACGTGTAGCCGAGAGATTTTCACGAAAAAATGCCGGCAACAGCCGATTTTCGACTCAGACCTCAAAGGGGCGTGGCATTATAACCACGTGACATTTACTCCGATCGCCAAAAATTTTATGTTATAGTAGATTGATCTATATGTAATCCACTCTATGTGTTAGACTTACGATAAAAGTAAAGGTGGGGATACCAGAGAGCTTCAAAGTAGGATGGTACCCCCCCAAAAAAACTGGGTCGAGTCACCTTAACAGATCATATCCTAAACGCTCGAATGTTCAACTGGTCGACAATTCGTCTGGTGCCGTGTGAACGAAGCATAAGTTTGCATCTAGACCTCGTCCCCAGAAATTTTCTCCTTCAATTAAAATTTTTTATTACAATTCTCTCAATTTTTCCACAAAACGCTTTGAGAACCCTCCTTGCTATCGAGCATTGTATTCTTTCAGAGTCAGATGGCGTAAAAATCTGGTTCGGCTGCCTGAAGAAATAACACCAGAAGAAATTAGCCAAATCAGTTCAACGAAAAGCAGCTTAATTTGTTGTAATACTAAGCCAAATTATCATGTCTAGGTGCAGACTATCTTCTTGTAGAAAGAAATTGAGCACGGATTGTTACTCCGCCTGTTTAAGGCGCTGTTAACCTCCAGTAAACGAGCAATAAACCACAAGGGATCTCTTCTGACAATATGGGCTTGCTAAAAAACTGTCAAATGGACCTTATGGTGTTGTGACGTCATTACTAGTACTTGCCTGAACATGGTTAGCATAAATTAAACAAGTTTCCCGCGCATTTATTCATGAGCTGTTTATTAAATTTTGCTGCCCTTTTGATGCCCGAAAATTCTGCTAATTCTCCTCAGACACCACGACTCTGTGGTTTTCACATCTTCCTTTTTGGCAGAGCAGCGAGTTAATTGCCTGGAATTCGCAAGTTCGAATACTTGTTATTCCATGTTGTTAAAATTAAATTTCTTCATATAATCTGAGTGGAGTGGTACGTACAGCGAACATAGAGTGGTCGAGCGTCTAGTGGTCGCTTACAAGGGGTTCAAAAACAACGGAAAACTATTATATTAAAATCAAAAGGTGGTCGCGGTCGCTTATAGGAGGTGGTCGTTTTAGAGAGGTTCCAATTATAGGGCTCTGACTGGGAAACTTTTGGTAGTTTGGATACATGGTCGGTTAGAGGAGGATGTCGAGATGGTTTCACGTGAAGGTTCGACAGTAATGTTCGTTGTATCTCAATGAGATCATCTGAAAATAACGTACCTGACTGTTGCGAAACCACTGTTGAAGATGCAAGCAGCATAGAAGATGCTGAAGGTGTTTCAGGCGTACTTTTATCTATTGCCAAAGTAGTGTTCATTACAACAGATGACAAATGACCTCGTGGCAAACTGCTCAGAGAAATAGCTGACGATAACACAATTAAGGAAGACACCGAGGGCAGTGCGGATGTACCTTGTTCTGTGATCAGATTCGAGCTCATTGTTGCGACAGATGATGAGTAACTTCTGGATAGAGCGCTTGAAGGAAAAACTGATGTTGACACAAGAACTGATGACGACACCAGCACAGACGAGACCAACGTTAAGGGGGCTATAGTTTGCTTGTTTGCCATGCCAGCGCTCAGTACCTCAAATGGCGAACTACTTATGGCCAAAGTACTTGAATGAAAATCTTTTGAGGATGACATCGACAGAGAAGACGATGAAGGTACAGCGGCTGTATTTTGCCTTACCTCATTTGAATTCACTGCTGCATCCAACAGACCCCTCGACTTGCTGTTTGTATGATCTGATGATAACACTGAGGCAGATGTCATCAACACAAAGGTAGCTGTTATCAAAGACAATACACGTAATTTTAGATACTGTTTGTATGTAAGTGCAGTGGCGGATGAGACCTTCAGACAAGAGAGGGGGGCGGTCATCCAGACCCTGAGATAAGGGAGGAGCCCGGACTCAACAAAATTTTTTTTCTGCCCTTCGGACCTCAGTTTGGTCTAAAAGTAAGGGGGGCCCTTCCCCTGGATCCACCACTGACTGATGTCCGTCTTGAGAGTAGTTGACTATACACGAAAACTGTTGTCCGTAAAAGTAGAGACACTTAAAAATGAACAAAAAGTTTCTGTGCGAGTTGATTCCCTATCTTTACAACTGTTATTAGACCCTATAAACGAAAGAAGGTTACTACGGTCGCTTATAGGGGGCGGTCGTTTTAGAGAGGTTCCAATTATAGGGCTCTGACTGGGAAACTTTTGGTAGTTTGGATACATGGTCGGTTAGAGGAGGATGTCGAGATGGTTTCACGTGAAGGTTCGACTGTAATGTTCGTTGTATCTCAATGAGATCATCTGAAAATAACGTACCTGACTGTTGCGAAACCACTGTTGAAGATGCAAGCAGCATAGAAGATGCTGAAGGTGTTTCAGGCGTACTTTTATCTATTGCCAAAGTAGTGTTCATTACAACAGATGACAAATGACCTCGTGGTAAACTGCTCAGAGAAATAACTGACGATAACACAATTAAGGAAGACACCGAGGGCAGTGCGGATGTACCTTGTTCTGTGATCAGATTCGAGCTCATTGTTGCGACAGATGATGAGTAACTTCTGGATAGAGCGCTTGAAGGAACAACTGATGTTGACACAAGAACTGATGACGTCACCAGCTCAGACGAGACCAACGTTAAGGGGTTTATAGTTTGCTTGTTTGCCATGCCAGCGCTCAGTACCTCAAATGGCGAACTACTTATGGCCAAAGTACTTGAATGAAAATCTTTTGAGGATGACATCGACAGAGAAGACGATGAAGGTACAGCGGCTGTATTTTGCCTTACCTCATTTGAATTCACTGCTGCATCCAACAGACCCCTCGACTTGCTGTTTGTATGATCTGATGATAACACTGAGGCAGATGTCATCAACACAAAGGTAGCTGTTATCAAAGACAATACACGTAATTTTTGATACTGTTTGTATGTAAGTACAGTGGCGGATGAGACCTTCAGATAAGAGAGGGGGGCGGTCATCCAGACTCTGAGATAAGGGAGGAGCCCGGACTCAACAAAATTTTTTCTCTGCCCTTCGGACCTCAGTTTGGTCTAAAAGTAAGGGGGGCCCTTCCCCTGGATCCACCACTGACTGATGTCCGTCTTGAGAGTAGTTGACTATACACGAAAACTGTTGTCCGTAAAAGTAGAGACACTTAAAAATGAACAAAAAGTTTCTGTGCGAGTTGATTCCCTATCTTTACAACTGTTATTAGACCCTATAAACGAAAGAAGGTTACTACGGTAATAGCTTTCGGTAACTCTACGTTGACGTCAATTCTCTTGTTTAGTCTTGTCTTTCTTGTCTTGTCTTGTCTTAGGGCACCCAGCGACTGTTTGGAGAAGCAAAAATTGTCTGGACTTTTCTATAATTTGAAGACGACTAAAAATATCTAGATGACCGTTCCATTAAGGTACAATTTTCGAAGCTTACCTAGTAAATCCCCTACAATTTTCAAATTCTGAAATTAATTTTTCGCATTCAACTCCCCAGGTTAAGCTATTTTTCGTAGAAAAAGGAAACCTAACGTTTTCGGATTCGAAAATGTGATGGAGAGAGGAACCAGTAAAAATCTCACTTTCGTAAAACTTTAAACTGCATCTCAGATTTTCTGGAAACTAAACCCTGAAGTCCTTGTAATTTCGGGAAGACTCCGATTGCCTTAGAATGACCAGGTAGATTCATAGCGTCTCTCAAAATGCATTTGTATAGAGTTATTAAAGTACTCTGGATAGCCTAAAAAGTGTTTTAAATGCTTTTAAGAGGGAACCGTCGTTGGGTGTCCCTGAACTTTCAGCATTTCACCTTCGATTGCTCATGACTTACTTAAGAATGGGAACAAACCGCGAGTCCATTGCATTTCGTCCATACCTGAGTAGAGAACAGTTCAATAATACAAAAGACAAATTAGAATTTTTTCAAGATATGGTTCCAATATTTGTGCTGTTACTAAATTAGAAGTTATGCAGTATGCAGGACGCGTGTCAAATATGAACTTAGTATAATTGGCCTCGCTCCCCTTGAGTTCTCCGTGGCTCAAAAGGATAGAGCGCCCGCCTGGTATTTAGGAGGTAATAGGTTCGAATCCTGTCGGGGAAGACTCAGATTTTCTCTTTGCCCCACGCTCGTGACACGCTGATGATTTCATCTTGACTTTTGTTTCACCGAGCTTTAAATCCACCATCTTTCATTCTTTCATCATACAGTACGATCTCGTTTAAGTTCATCTTCGATAGTGCACGTTTAGGTTTGTCCAGCTCCGCAAATATTCTCCAAATAACACATGTCGCCCTTCGAGCTGTCTTCTTGCTGTTCTTGCCATGTTTTTAGCTATTTTTTCTCCCAGTTCTTGCCCTTGAAACGAGTGAAATGACCGCCATTCTTGTTTCCACAACCAAAACAACTCAACCTCGTCCCCAGATCCTCTCGGTTAACGGTGCCTTGACCTGAACGAACGCTGCATTTTTGACGTCATTTCCTCATTAAACACAAAATTCTTCCATATTTGGTCATCCGTAACTGGTTATGGTGAATTAAAGGTGTGCTTTTAGCCAATCAGAATCGGGGAAATATTTTGAGAGAATAATAATAATAGGTCTTAATATATGTAATAAGAGTACGTGTGGCAGCTAACTAGCTAGTTTCGAATTATCAATATTCATACTGGGCTCCAGGGCTGATGAGGAAAAAAAACGCAAAAGAAATTAATTATTCACCCCTGAATCTTAATGTGATTTTAATAATTAGAAAAATATTAAAATTTTAACAATTGCATTTTAATAACTTGAAACTGGCCTGTTACGTGTGTTAACAAGGTACTTAATTTTTGATGTTTTAATAATTTAAAGAACTGAAACGGTGTAATAAAGAAACGTGTGGCCGCAAATTCTCAAATAGAAACCTCCAATTACGTTCAAGTTAAAGAGGGGGTTATGCAAAAATGACTATGCTCATAGTCATAATATTTAACAATTATTCCTCGAGCCTGAATGGGCTATTGACTCAGAAGCCATGCGGGCGAGAGGAATAATTGTTTTAGTAAAATCCAATTAGTTGGTCAAAAATATCGAGATTAAAAAAAATTTAGCTAGTTAAAGCAAAATTTAAATCCTTTTTTGCCGCCAAAAAGCCCGCGCTTTTCGCTACTAGCGGGCTATAACATATAGCCAAGTAGTAGCTCAACCAATCAGAACGCAGCATTGATAACAGACCAGATTTACTAAAATATGACAGCAGCAGGCCACGTTAACCAAAGCTGAAAAGGATATCTTTCTGAAGGGGAAAAATTTATTTTTTTAATAAAGGGTTGATTTAGGAAAGACCAGTATCAGAAAGGTATTTCGTTAATGGGCTAATTTTTTCCTGACAAACATGTAAGAGTCGCTAGTTGTCGCGCAGCAATTTTAATACTCATGCATGTTGACAACGTCGCGAAAGAGCTATGCGAAATATGTTACCAGCGCACACCACATAAACTTTGCTTAAGAATGCCTGTTCGGCCTTGATAATAATATTGCTTACTCATTCCTAAATCCCAGATTTTAATAAGTTTTTGCAGATTTTTTAAAAATGAAATAGTAACTCACCAAGAAACTTAGAAAACTGATCGTAGCGTAAATCCTCTATGTCAAATCATTTGAGGCCGCCGGTTGTCTATGATCTACTAGTTTCTAGTATAGAATTTGGCCTTTAACCATAGACTCAATACGACAAGACCGTCGCAGTTCTATGGTCAGGAACTAGAAACGCTCATCGCAACAAACCTAACCATTCAGTATTGCAAACTAGTAAGCAAGTTCAGCCTTAAAAGACTTGCTCGATTGTTTCTTGTTTAGCCATGGTATGCTCATATTGGAAGCGTAAAATACGAAAAATAGAGTTCACTTTCTTGTTTGAGCTCAGTGGCTTCACATTCGTTGCAACTTAAATATGACGTTTCTGCTTCCCTCTAATCTGATGTATATATGCACATTAACTTGCCTTTGAGTCAAAGATATCTACTCTTACCTCCAAATCGTAGAAATCTTGGTAACTCTTGATAGTTTAAGCCTGAGAAGCTGCGCCTAAGCTTTCCTAGCGTGATATCGAGCAGACTTTTGAGGCCAAAATAACTCCTCAACCATCGGCTATTTAAACAGTCCACAGGGAAGACAGTTTTCTTTGTCGTTGTTCATTCAGCCATTATATCCAAAGATGACAATCAGACAATATGACGACCAAAAACAAAATATAAATCTTTGATTAAAAACACAAATAGATTCGAAGGGATGGTTTTAGTAATTAACCCAATCTTAATTTCTGCCGGCCACAGCTTGTACAACTGTTGTTCGATTTAACTACCTTGACTTCAGGAGCTTATTAGACTAAATACCCCTTATGAGTTTCTGACTAAGTACAAAGAACAGACTTAATTGCTCTTTCTCTTTTTGTTTACATTTCTATAGAATAGCTGCCATCAGTGGTGGCCGTTTTCAATTGCGATCTATCAATAGACTAACTGAAGCATCCAAAAAAAGAGCTATTGAAGTAATGTCAAATAACAAGTCAACCATATTAAATACCGTGGTTATGAGTACCATTTTCACTAGCACTCATAACTCCTACAAGTGGTTGAAATATTTCTTTAATCGACAAAAAACATCATTTTCATACCAATCATAATTTTCTCACTAACCAACTCAAATATTTACAACTAAGAAACCCCGCGGTATCTTCTATGGGGTGGAAATGATGCTATTAGGGAGATTAAGATGTCGACGACGCTGACGG